TCGCGCCGGCGGGGTGGGCGGGGCCTCGCCGGGCAGCGGCCGCCGTGATTGGCTGCGGCGCGGCGCCCTCGCGCCCACTCTTTGTGCGGCCCCGGCGCCCGTCGAGAGTGGGAGGGGAAACCCCGTGCGAGGGGCGCCGCCATCTTGGCTGCGGGGGTGATGGGGGCGCAGCGGAGCCGCGTCTGAGGCAGCGGAGCGAGCCCGGAGCGAGCCGAGCCACGCCACAGCGCCCGCGGGGCACCGGGCACCGCCCGCACAGCCGCGCTGCACAGCTCCCCGAGCCCCCAGCACAGGTACGGCGGGCCGGCAGCGCCGCGGGGTGAGGCCGCGGGCAGGGCTAGGCCGCCCTGCTCGGTGCCGCCGCCGCCTCCCGCTGCTCCCCTCACGGCGCGGTGGGCAACGCCGCCGGCAAGCGCCCGGCCACGGGCGGTATTTTTATGTGTGTGTTTCTGTGTCTCCCCCTTACGAGCTGTTGCAGTCGCACGTAGGGTGTGTATGTGTGTGTTGTGCCGTATATGTGGCCGATGTGCAGCGTTATCTCTACTTTTGTTGTATTGGCCTGTGCCGTCGTGAACTTTGACAGAAAAATAACTTTGAGGGTTGAGGGAAAAGCCACTTCCTATCTGAGAAAGCAGCGAAAGTATTCTAGACTGGGTTTTTTGTCAGGGCTTTTTTAGACTAAACAGAGCGAATTGTTTATTCTCTGAATTGTTTATTGCCTGTTTGCAGCACACTAAACCTCTACAACATCTCTTGGTAGCTTTGTCCTGAATTGGAGTTGTGCTGAATTCTCCTTGCACTAAAGGAGGTTGCTCGCTGTGGCTTTTGCTTTGATAGATCTGTTTTGGGATGTTTTTCAGAGGTGACAGAGCCCCTTAGTGAACAGGAGTCACTCAGGTTGGCTGTATCCTAAAGCATATCAAAGCCCAAGCCACCACATCTCTTACAGATGTTATCCTGTGGAATGGATTGCCTGGGATTGATTCCTGTCATGGTTTGGACTCAGGGGCCCTCTTGCTTGGGCAGTACTTGCTGATGGGAAGAAAAAACCTCGGGGAATTCAATTACTAAATGTCACAATTTAATATGGTTTATAAAGGAATTTGCTAGCTTCCTGTAGGGATTTGAAAATGTCGTAAGTCTGAGTGGAAGGAAGAAGTTCCTCTTTTCCATGTTGTGGGTAACAAAAAACATGAGGAGTTCTTGTGAAGGACAGCAGTTTGGAAACAAACCTGTTCTACTGGAGGTACTGGGATGTAAAATGTAAATCATGCTTTAAAATTACCTGCTCACTCCTGGGCATCGAATGAAACCTGCTTAGATTGAGTCTCATTTTGCTGGGTCTTCCTGAAGCAGGACATAGATCTTAGTTAATATTTACCTAAAAACGTCTGTGACTTGTGTTTTCCTAGGTGGGGACTCCAGAGTGGTCTCATTTGTTGGAATGACAGAAAACTCTGCTGGTTTTGTATATTCTGTCCCAAACTTAGCTGATATCTCTGGATCTTGGTTCTCCTGCTGTGAACAGGCACACAACAGGTTGGAGTGTCCTGTAGAAGTGAGGAGACACAGGGGATGCAGGGGGGCTGAGGGAGGGCCGTGGCAGAAGGTGCTGGGGCTGATGAGCACAGGTAGGCAGTGATTAGTTCAGCTCTGCTGCTGGGGTGTGGTTAGGGACAATTGAGGTGTGCACATATAAATGCAGGAAGTTTAGGAAGCAAAATGGAGTAACTTAATGAAGCAGGATGTGAAAGCAGTAGAAGGATAACCAGGACAAGGTGGGTGTGACTGGAGAGTGGTGAGGAAAGTCAGAAAGTGAAGGCAGTGTGTTATGTAGCTTTGATTTAAAAAGAAAAACGAAGTTCTGGAGGAAGGGGAAGTGAAGGCCTGTGAAGCCTTTAGAAAAACCTCCTAAGCCTCAGGCTGGGTTGAGGTGTTTGACAGGATTAGGGAACATATCAAATGCATTTCTTCAAGAACAGCCTGGAAAGGGCTCTGCAGGGCTGCAGCCTGAGCCCAGAGCCTGCAGGCCTCCTGTGCTCTCAGGGAAGGAGTAACCAGGGCTGGGAATGGTAAGGAAATGCCAGGTGATCCTGGACAGCAGCTGCCAGAGGCTGCTGGGTGAGCAGATCACCTCAGCCAGATTTGCTGAATTGTGCTCATTGGATGCTCTGGTGAGATCCAAATGGGGGAGCAGGGGAGGATGCCTGGAGGAGCTGAGGGATGAGTAAGGAACTGGCCAGCAACAAGTGATGTTGTCACACAGGTGTGAAGGGCAGCAGGCTCTGAGGCTCCTCAGGGATCAGCAGGGCTTTGTAAAGCCAAGCCTGCAAAAGTGAAGAAATAAACAGAGCAGGGTGGCTGCAGAGCATCATCTGAAAGAGGGCTGAGGTGCTGATGTGGTTCAGGAAGACCTGAATGTCCTTGGTGTGTGAAAGCCAGAGAAGCACAGTGGAATTTAATTGTAGCAGACCTCCTAGCTTGCTGTGGACAGCAGACCTGTGGGAATTCAGTGCTTGGGTGAATGACTTGATAACAGAACTGTTATTACCTTCAGTTGCTGTGATCTGACAGGTGACCATAACTGAAGTTTCTAGTAGCCTGCTGCAGTGAGGTACCAGTTGAACCACATTGTTCTGCATGCTTGACAAAAGTCCTTATCAGGGGAAAAGTGCAATTACAAAATGAAACAATTCTACCCCTCTCCAGCTCCTCCCCCTTATCAATCTTATTGTTGTCTGTTAATGAACATCCAGGTAATCTGCAGCTTCAACTGTGAGAGCTTTTCCTGCTGCACACCCTTGGAGAATGATGCACAGGACACCTGGCTGCCACACAAAATCCCTTTTGCTACCCAGTGGTTCCCTGGGGGCAGAGTGCTGTGCTTTGCAGGGAACCAGCCACAGCTGGGCAGTGCTGAAGGTGGTGGATTTTTCCCCAGCTCTCATCCCTGCACATGGACCATCACCACAGCAGTGTCTAATAAACCCTCTGCATGCAGCTTCTGGTCTCCTTTCATAACACATCTTGTTGAGCATAAAGATACTGAATTTCTTAATGCAAATGATACCCAGGGAAGAGTTAAAACTGTGTCCTTGAACTGGAAGGAACTGCACAGGTCTCACAAAGGCTGGTATGAATCTGATATTTACAGTTATGTTACTGTGATAAAGAACGTTACAGCAGTGTGCCCAGAACAATCTTATCTCAGGAAGTACAGATGTAGCTGATACTTGAAATAAGGCTGCAGTGAGATTTCTGAATATCTCTGTGGTGCTTGTTGATTAGAGGAGGAGATGTAGATGTACTGGTGTCTCATTAAGTCATCTTTAACGTTCTAAAAAAAAAAGCCTCTAAGAAGAAGTTGATATATGGGAAATAGATTTGGTGACCCTGCTCACTGCAAAATTTCCAGTCGTAATGTGATACAGAAATGAATTGTATAGGCTTTGAAATGAGCATAAATCTGTGCTGAGTGAGATGCTGTGGCCAGTGGCCATCCTGCAGTCGTGCTCTGGGCTCCAGGGCAGCCTTACCTGGGAGAAGGGAGCCAGCACTGAGCTGGCAGCCTTGCCCAGAAGAAGGATGGCAGGTAGGCCAAGCTCCCAGACTAAACTTCTGCTTTCTGTTAACAGCAAACTCACGGCTGGTTAACTTTGATGTCACAGTGCCAGCAGTGGCCCAGGCTGAGCTGTGGATATTTATGTGCAGCTTTCTCAGCCCTGCAGTTCTTGCTCTCCCAAGAGGAAAGCCCCATCCCCCCGTTGGGATTATTGAGATTCACAGGTCTGGAGCAGAGAGGGTGGAGGCAGAACTCCAGTTCTGCAGACCCTCTGAAGGCATCAACCCCTTGCATTGACATGTAGCTGATAGTTTAGAATTTACTGACCCCTCCTGTGCCCTGTTCTTGTCTGGACTTCCTTCTTTCGTCTGCAGTAACTGCTGAGGTGGTCAGTTTTCCAAGGCTGAATTCTCAGCAGGCTTTCTGTGTTTAGTTGGTTGCATTTTTTTTTCCTCCTTCAGCACAGAGTCCTTGTAGAATATCACTTTTATTCCAAGATCTGAGTACAGTTTGAATTCCTGCTAATCCTTATTGGAATTTGAGTGTTTAAAAGTTTGTTATTTGTTTTTATTTTATTTTATTTTTTATTTAAAGGAATAATCTGTTCTCCAGAAAATATTCCTGACCTTTACTAATGGTTTAGAGTATTTCAGAATATTTTCTGTAATGTGACCCTTGAAATAAATGTTATACCAGTAGTTTTTTGTATTGAAACAGCATAGTTAAATTTTTTTTACTTAGAGGACATAATGAAAATGGACATATCTCAGCAAGCAGAAACAGCCTGACAAGCAGAGCTGTATTTTTAGCAATGAAGATCTAGTTGAGATTTGCTTCAAATTCAGTTTATGACAGAGACTGCACTCAATTCCTGGTTTGTCCATGCTTTAAAAAAATCTCCTCACTTTCCAGGCTTGGATTGCAGGATGCATTCCCTCCTGGTTGGAACAGGACAGCAGCACAACATTGTTTACCCCACAGTGACATCCTAAAGTCATGTGCTCAGAAACATGAAACTTCCCTGTGCTTGGGAGTGCTTGGCACTCCTTGGCCTCCTGGTCTTGGGGAGAAGAGAGGGCACAGAGGCTTCTGAGGATTCCATAGCCACACAGGTGGTTGGCTCCCTGTCTTGGACTTCATGCTGCTGGTTGGGTTGTTAACAGCATCAGTTCCTGGATATTTCAGAATGCACAGGAGATCTTTGCTGCATACTGGTGCTCTTGGTGTCTCGAGGCTGTAACACCCAGTTGTTTTTTGGGGGCACTTCCTGCTCTCCTCCTGAAGTACTTGCATGTATAAATCAGCTTGTTGAAGCTTTCTTTTGTACCTGAGGGACCCCCAGTTTGGCCCTGTGTGCCATCAGTGGAGCTGAGCTGTGAGCATGCTGCTCCTGCCCTGCCCACCAAGGAGGTGCCAGGTGGAGGGTCCTGCAGGAACCTGTGCTTTGTGTGCCCAGCTTACTGTGCTGGGACATGCTGGAGAAGAAAAAGAACATCATGTGTGAAGATGTTCAGGAAACTTGAAGGACTGGATGTTTCCACAGTGACACATTCATTTGGAACTCAGCATGGAGCAGTGACTTGTCTTTATTTACTGCTGTTGAAAATAACCCATGCACGTGTTGAAGCTGGTACTGTAACTCTGGAATCTTCTAGGAAATAAGGCAGTAAAGCTGCTGGCTTGCTTGGTGAATTAGTGCCCAAAATTGTCAGTTTATCCCCTATCTTGGAATAAACTGGTTCAGTAGAACAGTGTGTGTCTCTGTAGGACTTAGCAGAGGTGCTGTGTGTTCTGCTTGGGACAGAAGTGTTTCCATCTCCTGAGCCAGGCGTGGAGGGAAGACGAGGTGCAGAGCAGTGCCTGGCACTCAGTAAACCCTTCTTAGCTGCTCTGGGAGTTGTTCCCCTCCCAGGTCTAGATAAGCATGTTTGCCTCAAATCTCAGTGCTGGGAAGCAGAGGCTGCTGGCTCTGTGCTGGGAATGAGATTTGTTCATCTTTCTTCCAACTGCAGTTTGCTGAGAGGGATTAATTGTGGTGCAAGGAACAGTGCTTTGCTTCTGAGAAAGTCTCAGGCCTGGAAGCTTTCCTGTGTATTTCTTTCCAGTATTGGTTTCATTTGTCATGTGAATGACACATGACCTAATGAAAATCTTTCTAGGCTCCAGCAGTGTTCCTTGTAAGGAGTACCATGTGTTTGTAATGGCTGGCTGGCTGCCCTGCAGGAGCAGCAAGGGAAGTGCTGAATTCCTGCTAGAAATTTTCCACTGGCTTACATGATCAGTGGATCCAGTTTAACTTAAAACCTGGGACAAAAGCAGGCATTTCCCATCTTTATTGTTACCTGGCAACATCTGGCCCTTACAGATGTGTAATCCTGGCTAACTCATGTGTTAGTTAGCAAGTCAGCTTTTACTCCTTGCAGATTTAAACAGCCAAAGCCAGTTATAATTCCCTCAACATTTAGGAAAATTCTGGAATGTCAGAAGTGTTTTGACTGCCTTTTAAAAAAGAGAAACTGCTCAACAGCCTTGCTGTAGCTCTGCTGTGCTGACAAAGCCACAGAGATGTTAACCAACTTCCTGAACATCTGATTTGTGGCTTGCAGCGCTTTTCCAACATGGACAAGCAGCACCCCAGGCCCCAGTTAAGGCTACTACAGCATTCTTTTAAATCTTAGCTTTTGCTGCAAGCTGCACTGCTTCCTTTGTTGCTGTTGCAAGTCTCAGAAGTGTGAGGTAATAGTTCCAACTTGCTGGGTTTGTGCTGGAGTCAGGTTTTATTCTCAGTTGATACCTCAGCTCTTTGGTGGGTGAGTGCTGGTCTGGCAGTGACTGTGCAGAGCAAGGGGGGACTGAGCTTTTCACCAGCTTTAAGTCCTGGATAAAATTGATTATCAGTGCTACCCCAGAGTGTGTTTCTACTTGGAGGCCTCACTGACAGGGGCTCAGAGCAAACAGTGTGGGAAGTTTGCTGGCTGTGCCACTAATTCAGTGACACTGGGGAGCTGCACAGATTTGAGCTGTGAATGAGAGGGTGGCTGGGGGAGAGAGGAAGAGGAAGGGTTTTTTTGTTTATGTGGACTAAAGTGGATGATTTGGGTCGCCTTGAGGGAACATCAGTTCTGATGTGTTCTGTTTTTTATTTTAGTGCCACAATGGCAACTGCACCTTACAACTATTCCTACATCTTTAAGTACATCATAATTGGTAAGTACCAGTGGGCTCACACCTGTCTGTGTTCTGTGTGGGTACATGAGGAGCCCGTGGCTGTGCCAGGCTGCTCTCAGTTTGTGCTTGTCCCACCTCTGTCCCCACAGGTCACCACACTCTGTGCAGCTTTAGCATTGACTGGAGCATTTTGCATCATTAATCTCAAAGGTTTTAGAATTTAAGGTGAAGGCACCATTGCATGAGGCTCATAAACCTCTGGCAGGCTGTATTCTTGTGTTTAAATGTTGCTTTTAGCTGCAGCTTCCTTGGCTGCTTACTCAGGGACTCTGAGGGATTGCATTTATTGCTGTCCTGGAAGAACTGGTCTTGCTGTTAATTGTTTAATTGTTAATGATCTTGTGTAGGTGTAAATGATCTGCAGGTTTGTAAGTCAGGCTGCTGACAGCCTCAGCCTCTGGAAAAGTTGGTTCTTGAAAGATCTTGCTGTGTCTCACTTTTGGCATTGTGCAAGAGGATCAGTGGAAATAAAGCAATTTCTTGAGATGTTCTGGATGGTTGTCAGTATTTTTTGATGTTCTTACCACAACAAGACAGGAGCAAACACCAAGTATATTTTACATTTCAGTTTCTTCAGCTGTACTTTTTATAACCTTGTGAAATACCGTTATAAAATCAGTAATACACATTAACTATTTCTTGAGTGTTGTGCTCCTGCTTGCAAGCTGTACCTGTAACCAGAGCTTTAGTGGCAAGTTGATAAATTCAAGGATATAGCCAGGGATAGAACACTGCCCATCTGACCTGAGAAATGAATGTTTCTGTACCATTTGTTGTGTGGGAGGAAGAAAATGTGCTTGTTGCAACAATGATTTAACTATTCTTTCTGTAACAGGGGACATGGGTGTAGGAAAGTCCTGTTTGCTTCATCAATTCACAGAAAAGAAGTGTGAGTATTTCAGATCACGATATTTATTCTAACTGGCATTTCCATCCCTTTTCCCTGCCTGTTTCCATCATGCATGAGCTCAGTTTGTCTGTCTTACTCTGTGAGTTTGGATTGTACCGGGTCACATTTCTGGTTTGACTTCAGCAGATGCAGAAACAAATATTGATGGAGTTATGGCAAAACCTGCTCCAGCCAATGCTGCCTGTGAGGACTGGGAGGACTGGATCTGATTTTACAGATTTTCTGTGGATTTTGATACGGACAAAGAAATTTCTTGTCTGAGCTTTGCATGTTTTCAATATTGGTGTAGCTTGATCACAAGCAGTTGAAGTTTTTAGTGCTGTTAAGGAGTTCAAAAGGAAAAAAAAAGGAATAATTTTGCTTTCAGTCCTTGTTTGCAGCCTTAAGCAGCCCTGCAGGACACTTGGCCTGCCCTGGGTGATGGTGTTGAGGGCTTGCTGCAGTCTCTCAGCTGAAACATTTTCTCATGTTTTATCATCACTAATTAAGAGTTAGCTTCAGTTGCTGCTGGTGTGTGTTGCATTGGGGTTTGCAGCAGCTGTTACCTCACTCAGTGAGTAAGTCTGGAGGTATTTCTCAGTACAGGCATCACCATGTGCTGCTTGAGATGAGGTAACAAGTGGGTAGGAGCTGCAGTTAAAATATTTGTTTTCCAGTAGAAATAGGAACTGCTGACTGTTGTTTTTAATGAAAATGCACTATCACCCAGCTATTTAAAAGCCATTTTGCACATGGTCAAATTGTCCATGAGGAGAATGTTCTGTCAGCACCAAACCAAAGCAGTACAACCAAACTTAACGTGCCAAACACCTCTGCTGTGAGACTGCCCTGACTCTGGCAGCCTGGGTAGGTCCTCATCCTGTCTCTATTTTCTTGATCTTCCTCAAAGATGAGCTTATTGACATGAGTTTATCAGAACTAGAAAAATGCCTTTTTGGATTTGATTTGGTGTGTTTGTAGCTGCTTATGAAGCTGGCATTTTCTTGGGCAGTCATCCTATTGCCCTGTCTGACCCAACTTGGGTGTTTGTTTTTGAAGATGTGACAGACTTTTTAACTGCATCTTTCTTGGTAATTCCCTAAAAATTATCTTTTCCTACTGCATTAAAATAGTTAACCTTCTGCAAGGATAGACTGGGATCAGCTGACTTGGTACCTTCTGATATGTGTGGCCAAAGAGCAGCAGAGAAGGCAAGGAATTTTACAACTGTTTTTAAAACTAACAGCAGCTCAGGAAATGGAGCATTTTCTTTCTGGTTAAGTGATGCAGTTTTGGAACTGTAGCTGTAAAAATGCTTTTTTAGAGACTGAAAATCTGGTAAAGATAACTGAAAACTTGTGGTAGTAATATTTTTACAACAAGGAGATTTTGTCCTAGGAAGATCTGATCTTTGCTCTTATTTTTCATGACAGTTATGGCAGACTGTCCCCACACAATTGGTGTTGAATTTGGCACAAGAATAATCGAAGTTAGTGGCCAAAAAATTAAACTACAGATTTGGGATACAGCAGGACAAGAGAGATTCAGGGCTGTCACACGAAGCTACTACAGAGGAGCAGCAGGAGCTCTCATGGTCTACGACATCACCAGGTAAGGGCAGCAGGGCTCTGCGTGTGATGCTGAGCTGGGGATGGTGCACAGCCCAGTCCTGTCTGTCTGTCTGTCTGTCCCCTTGGCTCAGAGGCTCTGTGTGTGTGGATGAGCAGCATCCTGCTGTGTGATGCCTGCCACACCTTACCTATGGTTAAAGAGCTGCAGATGAGGCACAGGGAAAGACGTGAGCGGCTTTTCTTGGAAAACTGGCTGCTGATGAGCCTGAGGAGTTTGCATTCCAGGCTGTGACTGCCTGTGTTGAAGTGTTGTAAAGAACTGGCTTTGCCCTTAGAATCTGCTCTTCAGCACGTGGTGCTGCTGCTGTGGAGGCACTGGCAGAGCTGCTCACCTGGCAGGGCTGCCCTGGGTGGGCAGCTGCCCGTGCTGTGGGGACAGCCTGGCCTCAGCCTGAGCCTGGGCCTCACCCCCAGCAGCCTGGCACTGCACAGCAGCCATCCTGCCTTCCTCTAGAGACAGCTAAAGATGCTGCTCAAGCAGCAGTGCATCAGGTGCAACATGAAATAATTTTGCTTTCACACATCTCTCGTCTTCCTCTGGGGATGTTCTTGATGTTCTTCAGGCACCTCTTTGTTTCCTCCTGCATATGTAGGTGTATTTCCTGTTTGTGTAAACCTTGAGTGAAACATGACCTTCTGCAGTTTGTTACTGAAGTGCTGTTCTGCTGCACTGTGTTCTGTAAGGGTATTTGACAGGAAACCCTTGCACATGTTCTGTTGAAAACAGCAGCAGCCTTGTCTGTGTGCAGAGCTGTGTGCTAGCAGTGGGAATGGATCTGGCTTTCCAGTGGCAGTGTAAGAGCTGCTCCAAGGGTTTAAAGTTGACTTGAATTTGTGGTCTGAGTCCACACTGCTGCTCTTTTGTCTGTCTTGAGGTGGGGAGAACAGCAGGAATGGTGGATGTTGCTGTGTTTGGATGCTGACTGTGCTGTTGGCACCTAAATATTTTATAAAAGGCTAAAAGTGTCCTCTCTTGATTCTTTGCAGAAGAAGTACGTATAATCACTTAAGCAGCTGGCTGACAGATGCAAGGAACCTCACCAATCCAAATACTGTAAGTTGGACTTCATTTAGCTTAAAGGCAAGATTGCTTCTCCCTGAGCAAGTGGTGGGAGGCTCAGGCCAAAGCACTGCAGTGGTCTCTGCAAGAGTGCAGGGATTCCCTTCCCTGCTGCAGCAAAAGGGCTTCCTCTAAAAGTCTTCTTGTGCCACTCACCTTTCAGGGTCTGTTTGAAACAGTTGGAGACAAAATTGGGATGAAATCTGGACCAGCCTTGATTGTGTTACTCCTCCTTGCTTTGTGTCAGTAAGGAGGGGAATGCTGTCCTTAGGCTGGAGTGTAAATTGGATCTCCAGCAAGAGCTGACCAGGTTTTGTGGAGGAAGATCCTTCTGGGTCTCTGCCCATACCACAGAGCTGTTGTTCTTCAGCCTGTTCCTGAATGCCTCTAAAATACTTTAGCACCAAACTGATGAGAAAACTAAAGATTGGTGATTAAACAAATAGGAGAAGTGGCTCAAGGTACTGCTCTCATGAGTAAAGCAGCTTTTTAGGACCTCATCTCCTGAATGCCTCTAAAATACTTTAGCACCAAACTGATGAGAAAACTAAAGATTGTCTGATTATTAAACAAATACAAGAAGTGGCTCAAGGTACTGCACTCATGAGTAAAGCAGCTTTTTAGGACCTGTTATGAGAACACCCTAAAGCCTTGGAAAGTGACAGCTGGAGATGCTGTTCTTGCTTTCCCAGCGTGGGGAATGCTAGAGCAGAGTTCTCCTGAAGGAGCATGGCTTCTGCAGATAATCTGCTCTGCATATTTCCCTTTGGTTTTTTAAAAAGCCTCATTAATAATGAAGGTGGCAGTGAAAAGGCTCCTGAGCTTTTTCCCAGAGTAACTTTTTCTCTCCTGACCCAGGTGATAATCCTCATAGGAAACAAAGCAGACCTGGAAGCACAGAGGGATGTTACATATGAAGAAGCCAAACAATTTGCTGAAGAAAATGGTGTGTTTTTTTTCTCTTGAGCTGGTACTTTCCTACAACATAGTGATGTTAAAGTGAATCCTCAGCATTGATAGCTGCAAGCTTACACTTCCAGAGTGATGGAATTGTATGTACAAACTCCTGCTGTGCCTCAGGCAGTCTGATAACTGTGTGTAGTTCTAGAAATCAGCTTGTGATGATGCCTTGACATAGTCACAAAAGCTTGTTTAGTACTAAAATAGTGTCTTGCATGTAATGGGAAGGTCGTGGTGTGTCTGACTTTGGGCTCTCTGGGGTGTGTTGTGCACTGACTGTTCAACCTCTGTCTCTGAACAGGTTTATTGTTCCTTGAAGCAAGTGCAAAAACGTAAGTGACTTTTGGCTGTGGTGATGTTCAGATTGGTCTGTTTGCTGTGTCTTGAAAGTAACTTGGAACTGAGAGCTCTGGCTGCATTTCAGCCAAAGACTGGTTGAATTCAAATGAACTGATTTGGATTTCAGGCCTTATTTGAGTGTGGAATGTGCTCAGTGTGTAAAGGGTTCCTTCCCCTGGCTGTTCAGAGCTGCAAGTTTGGTCTGTAGCAATGCCCAGCCCCTCCAGTAACTGAAGAATTGCTGTGCCATGCTTGGGGCTGGCTGTGTCACTGGGGATCCCCAGGGCCACCAGGAGATGTGGCTCCCACTGGCCCTTGTCAGAACAGAACTTTGTGACAAAAAGAGGTTTTGATCCATAGTGGCTCCCTTTAAGGCTCTGTCAGAACTGTCCTGTGCACGGGGCTGGATGCCTTGGATTATTTTTGCTCCTCAGTGCTTTGGCACATTCCTTACTCCTGATGGGCTGATGGGGTGTGGTGCCCTGTCCCGGGGCTGGGCTCTTGGGCACGGAGGAGGGCACAGTGCCTGCCCAGCTCCCTCTGGAAGCAGCACTGCAGCCCCAGTAACTCCTGCTGCTCTCTTGCAGTGGAGAGAACGTGGAGGACGCCTTCCTGGAGGCTGCCAAGAAAATCTACCAGAACATCCAAGACGGGAGCCTGGACCTGAACGCGGCCGAGTCGGGCGTGCAGCACAAACCGTCAGCCCCGCAGGGCGGGCGGCTAACGAGCGAACCCCAGCCCCAGAGAGAAGGCTGTGGCTGCTAGTGACCCCTCCCTGGCTCCTCCTCACCTGACCCCTCACCTCTGGCTCTAGGGAGTGGTGCTTTTGACCGCTTCCCCATCTTCTGTACATCTTACTGGGTTTAATTAAAACTCTGAGACAAGTTTAACACAGTACTAAACTGCTAAACAACTTTAGATGTAATCAGGTTATCAAAGGCAAGTAGAGTAATAAAACCTCTCCTGCATGGTAAATCTAGAAGTTTTTTTTTCCTTGATTGTCCTTGTGATAGTGTCACCGATACATAATTTAAACTGAGCACTGATGCTGGACTCCTGATTTTACACTTTTGCAGGGCTTTGTCTTGTATGGTTTATTTTATGGTTCTTTGGCCTTTCTTCCCCACCTCTAATTGTTCGAGCTGTCAGTAGTAAAGGATAAGTTTTTGCTGTGAAATGACTTCTGATGGTAGCGAGGGGCTCTGTAATGATGTGCTTTTGTTGGAAGAATTCCCTGTGGGATGTGCTGGGGTCGGGGTGGCGCAGGGAAGCGATCTGTTCATTCTTGTGCTCAATAGCTTTACGTCATTCTTTTGCCACTTTTATCCTTTACCTTTGTTAACAGAACGTAAATATGTATAAAATTTGAAGGAACTGAGCTAACAGTTAAATACATCCTGTGTATATGATTTTAATGAAGAAAATGATGCCTGGCATTAGAGCAGTGTGTAAGAACCCCCTGTTTGTACAGTCTGAGCTCTCTGTGCCCCCGTGGCAGCACAGCCCAGCTGGGGCTGCAGCTGCTGGGCGTCACTTGCAGGGTCCCCACGGTGCTGGGGACACAGACATTAACACTAGTGGGGTGTGGCTCTCATTCTGCACTGTGCAATGCTCCCCTCTGCACTCAGCAGTGCTCTGCCTGCTTCTCTTTGGCATTCTGGGGCTTCAGCCGTGGCCGGGCTCTCGCACACCTCCCGCTTTTGTACCTGTAACTTTGGGACTGGGCAGAGGCTGAACTGGACAGTTGGAACAACACGTGCTCTCTAGGGATTTTTAACTACTCTTGTATTTTTTAACAGTGCTGTGTGAGGGGTTTTTTTTAAAGGGTTTTGCTTCAAGCTTTCAAGTACATCCTTCCTGGGGTGCCACAGCCTGGCCTGTGTGTGAGGGGGTGTCACGTGGTGACCCTGCTGGGGGGTGTTGCTGCACTGATGTGGGGTTTTACTGTGGCTCCTTGTGCAGCTTCACTTGGAAAACATCACAAGGTTTAGAAATGGAAGGGGGTAAGTGCTTAACCACAATCCAGTGTCCCACTTCAGGCTTACTGCAGCGTTTCAAATACAAAGTAGTCTGAAAATCCCTCTCTAGACACTAAAACTCTACAATGTTCAGACTTGTAAGTAACCAGTGGTACCAGAGTATTGTACAGTCAATGTTAAATAAAAGCCAAAACTGGAATGTGCAGACAATAGGATTTGGGTAACTCGTGTGCTGTCCCTTTGTTTGTCTGGTTAGTCCTTTTTTAACTCCTGTTCCTCAGTAGATGGGTATGTTCAAGATCTCCAGCTCCTGCATCCTGCTTAACCCAAGGCTGCACCAGGGCTTGCCCAGGGACCACGACCTGCTGCTGATGTGAAGTCAGTGTTGTAATGACTACAGCTTGTTGAGGTGCAATACCTGTACTCCCAGAGTAAGTTACAGTAGGTCTCATTGTTTCTGTCACAGAAAGGATCTGTTTGGACTGCTGTACTCCTCATTTGATGTAACAATGCTATTAATCTAAATATTTGTAAATAAAGTACCTGTATCTAGATAAACCTCCCTGCTGTGTGTTACTTGCTCTGGCCCTCTGTGCTGAGGGTGGGATCTGTGAGGAGGGAGAGCTCCTTGGAGTGCTGGGATCTGTGCTCAGCCTTCACCTGGGCCTTGTTCAAACGTCAGACTTTCCCAGAGGAATCTGCCAGTGGTTTCCAGAGCTGCTTCACCTGGGCCTTGTTCAAACGTCACAGGCTTTCCCAGAGGAATCTGCCCGTGGTTTCCAGAGCTGCTCTCTAAGGGAAGCAGGGCTGGGTGTGTTTGTTCCCAGTGAACTCTGACAATGGCTGCATAGAAAAATGTTATCTTTAAAGAGGATGAGAAAGGGCCAGACTGAGACTGGTGCCAAAGCCCATCCCTGGGGAAGGGTGGGGAGGGCTGGGACAATCCCTGCACAGCCCCTGGCCTGTGTCTTGTCCTGCTGCCTGAGGGATTTACAAAGTGGCTTCTCCTCTGCTAATTAGGGAATAAGCTGGTTGTAATTTTGTTAAGCCATTGTCTGTATCCACCTGGTTCAGACAAGTGATGCAGCCAAGCCTGGGGAGGGGAAGAGGGACAAGGACAGAAATGCCAGTGTTAGACATTCCCCAGCATTTGTCACTGTCCAGTGCCAGTATCAGTGTCCTGGAGAACAGCTTTAAGGAAAAGAATCTGCAACCACCCCCAGATAAAAGCATCAGTCACAACAGTTTATTTTAGGGAAGTATCCAAAATAATTGTATTTTAAGCCTCCATGCACTTGGCAACAGATCAGACCTTGTAACAAGGTTTCTTTAAAGTGGAAACTGGCCACTAGCTGGACATTTAAATAGGAAGTTGGTTTGGACATGTTTAAATACACGTTTAATTTTTTTTTTTAAAAAAACAACTTTTCTATAAAAACCTGTTGTTAATTGTACAAAACCTTCACAGTGCAGGCCTTGCAGCAGCTGTTTGTGAGTGGTGGCAAAGGCCTTTTCAGACAGGGCTCACCCAGTGAGGTAGGAGAACTCTTCAGAGCTGGCACCTGAGGGCCCCTGTCCAAGCTGTGCATGTGCTTTGGGCTTTGCTTTCAAAGTGAAGCCACTTTTCAAGTAACCTTTGTACCTTAAACTGTTACAAAAGAACACTTTTGTACCAGGCTGGGGTGGAACCAGCTGTCCCAGAGGTTCGGCCACGGGGCTGAACAGTAGAACCAGGAAAGTTCCTGAAAGACCAGGGATGGCAACAACTGCAGCAGTAACTCCGTGTCCCAGCAGAGCTTCCAGCAGCTCTCACCCAGACTCCAAACTTTAGGTTCGTGTTGCACAACACAAACCTAAACCAGAGCAGACAGCAGCCCCAGGAATGCTGTCACTGGGAGGGGCAGCGTGGTCTGTGAAGCCACAGCTGCCCCTCAGCCTTCCAGCCACTGGGAGGGTGGCACTGGCCTGAAGGCACATCTCACCTCTGGCCTTCACCGAGAAGGGCTCACCCAGTGAGATAGGAGAACTCTTCAGAGCTGGAACCTGAGGGCCCCTGTCCAAGCTTTGCATGTGCTTTGGGCTTTGCTTTCAAAGTGAAGCCACTTTTCAAGTAACCTTTGTACCTTAAACTGTTACAAAAGAACACTTTTGTACCAGGCTGGGGTGGAACCAGCTGTCCCAGAGGTTCGGCCACGGGGCTGAACAGTAGAACCAGGAAAGTTCCTCAAAGACCAGGGATGGCAACAACTTCTGCAGCAGTAACTCCGTGTCCCAGCAGAGCTTCCAGCAGCTCTCACCCAGACTCCAAACTTTAGGTTTGTGTTGCACAACACAAACCTAAAGCAGAGCAGACAGCAGCCCCAGGAATGCTGTCACTGGGAGGGGCAGCGTGGTCTGTGAAGCCACAGCTGCCCCTCAGCCTTCCAGCCACTGGGAGGGTGGCACTGGCCTGAAGGCACATCTCACCTCTGGCCTTCACCGAGAGACTCCCTGGGAGCTGGAACGCAGCACTGGCGATCCCAGCGCGCTGCCCGGGCTGCTGGGGACCTGTAAAAACCCCAAAGCCCTGTGAGGAAAGCCCAGCCCTTCCAAAGCCATCAGCTACTGCCAGAGCAGGGGCAGGGTGAGATCCCCACCTTCAGAAAGCCCTGCCCAGCCTCGGAGAGGCTGTAACACCTCCAGTGAGAGAAGAACCATTAACCCCCCCAAATGAGAATCCTGGGCTGCAGCAGAACGTTACCTGAGCTTTTGTTACGCTGTGAAGAGAGCCCAGGCTGGGGCTGCTGGGCAGGAAGAAGGAATCCGAAGCAGTGCTGCTGACCAGCTCATCCAGCACCTGCAGCTGGCGCTGGAGGCTGTGCAGGCTCCCGGCCGTCTGCCGCTTCCCCCGCAGCAGCACCTCGGCCTGCTTGGCCAGGCAGCGCCGCAGCTGCGCCTGCAACGCACGGCAGCGTCACACGGGGCTGGGGACACGGGGATGGGACACCGGGCTGGGACACCGGGAGCGCCACACGGGGCTGGGGACACCGGGGCTGGGACACCGGGGTGGGACACCGGGGGCGTCACACGGGGCTGGGGACACCGGGCTGGGCCAGGCAGCGCCGCAGCTGCGCCTGCAACGCACGGCAGCGTCACACGGGGCTGGGGACACGGGGATGGGACACCGGGAGCGTCACACGGGGCTGGGGACACCGGGCTGGGGACACGGGGCTGGGACACCGGGCTGGGACACCGGGGAGCGTCACACGGGGCTGGGACACCGGGCTGGGACACCGGGGATGGGGACACCGGGGATGGGACACCGGGGAGCGTCACACGGGGCTGGGACACCGGGGATGGGGACACTAGGGCTGGGGACACGGGGGTAGGGACACGGGGGCCGGGGACACCAGGGTGGGGACACCGGGGAGCATCACACGGGGGCCGGGGACACGGGGCTGGGGACACTAGGGCTGGGGACAGCAGGGAATGGGCACACCGGGTCACACCAGGGTGGGCACACGGGGCTGGGGACACGGGGCTGGGACACCGGGAGCGTCACACGGGGCTGGGGACACCGGGCTGGGGACACGGGAGCCGGGGACACGGGGCTGGGGACACGGGGCTGGGGACACCGGGGCTGGGGACACGGGGCTGGGACACCGGGCTGGGGACACGGGGCTGGGACACCGGGAGCGTCACACGGGGCTGGGGACACCGGGGTGGGGACACCGGGTCACACCAGGGCTGGGGACACGGGGCTGAGGACACCAGGGATGGGCACATGGAGCTGGGGACACGGGGAGCATCACACAGGGGCTGGGGACACTAGGGATGGGCACACGGGGCTGGGCAACACTGCAAAGTCAGCCCTAACACGGGGCTGGGGACACGGGGCTGGGGACACCAGGGAATGGGCACACCGGGTCACACCAGGGTGGGCACACGGGGCTGGGGACACGGGGCTGGGCACACCGGGCATTTGCAACACTGTGCAAAGTCAGCCCTAAAGCCTGGAAGGTTGTCTCACACTACAAGCAGGGGGCAGTGGGTTTGGGAGTTATTTTTAACTAAGCTCTGTTTTGAGGCAATGTTCTAACTGATCATGGGTGGTGCTGAACTCCTCTGTCAGGATGATATAAATGAGAGAATCTTGTTGGGATACTCCAACGTCCAATTAAGTGCCAATTAAAATTACCCATCTTGCTACAGCCAGGCTTTTACTGTTCCCACCCAAAGCTCCTCTCTCTGGTCATTACAGAGTGGATTTGCCTGAGCTGGAGGAGGATCCCCACCCCCCCAGGTAGTTTAGAAGGGGCCCAAGGGATGTGAGGGGCACAGATGTGGCACCTTGAGCCTGTCCTCATGCTGCTGCAGCTTCTCCCTGCGTGCCTCTCCCCGCCACTGCTCATCCTTGGGGAAAAAAAAGCACAATCAGCCAGAGGGACCAACACAGCACCAGCAGCAGCTACTTGTCCAAAGCATTTTACCAGTAAGAAGAATCTGGAAATATTGAACTTTTCTTCCAAGGAGAGGAGCTGTCTGTCAGCAGCAGTGAAGGGAGCAGTCTCTGAGTTATCACACTCACACTGCAGGCTCCTCTTTCCTTCAAATGATACTTCCAAATCTTCCAAGGTGGCTGGAGAAGATGAGTGTGAAGATTCAAACCCCATCCTAATCTCATTCTCAACCTCCAGGTTAAGCAAGGTTGCTGCACTCTGCATTTCCCTTTGTCTCTCTTCCAGGTCTTGGGTTTTAGCCTGCAGCACAAAACAGTTGGGTTACAAACACCAGTCCTTAACCTAAACCTGCCACACTCCAACCTTGCAGGGCCTTCCCAAATGATTTCCAATTGCCAACAACATTCTTCTCTGTTTTTAAAGGGCTTCACAACAATTTATAAAGGGTTTATTGAAGGACTAGAAGAAGTCAGACAAGCTGCTGCTCCTGGGGAGCTGCAGGGAGATGCCTTTCACTGGCAGCCCCCCCTACAGAACGTGAGCTAAGAGACCCCAGGAGCCCTTTGAGGCAGAAACAGGAGTAACTCGGGTGCTGTGCAGCTCTGGGAATGCCACAGGGGGGCTGCCCCCAGTCTGCTCAGGAACTTGTTGCATTACTTTGTTTCTCCAATGACAAAAATGGGTGTTCCATCATTCTGCTGTTTGAAATAACCCAAACCCCCAAACTCAGCAAGGACTTACTTGCAGTTTGCTTTCAAGCTCCATTATTTGCATTTTCTGTGTTTCTCTCAGATTCAAGATTTGTTTTTCTGCTTCTCTCCTCTCTGACACTATCTGACCTTGAAGTTGCTTTAGCTCAGACTTGGAGACATCCAGTTCTTTCTGAAGACACTGTATTTCTCTGTCTTTTTGTTGTAACTGTAATTCTTTTTCTGAGAGCTGATGTTCTGTAAAGAACATTTGAAAAAAAAAATCCTGATTAGCAGAACTTATCTCGGCCCACTTCATACACAGCAGATATTTTCCAAACACCAAGAACCCAAACAAGATGAACAAAAATATTTGTTGTGCCATTATCCTCAGCCCCCAGAGATGGTGGCAGCTCATTTGTGCAATGACTCTTACTGCTTTTCCTGATGGTTTCTTCAAGAGCTGCACACTGGGACTCCTCCTTTTCCAGCTTCCCAAGGTTCTCCTCTGCCAGCCTGACTTTAGCTATTGCCTGCTCCAGTTTCTTGTGTTGATCTGTTAGTTCCTTTTCCAACAGGATTTTCTGATCCTTCACTTTAGCTGCACATTCTTCCAGTTTTTTCCCTTCACGCTCCGAGTTTTGCTTGAGGTGATGTAGAACCTGCCAGAAACCCCCCCACTCTGAGCATGAACCAGCAACAACTCAGGGAGAACAAAAACCATCACTAAGAGACATGAGGGATGTAAAAACAGCATAAATTGGAAAGAACTGCAGTCTAACAGTCCCTACTGACAAAAAATGTTTGTCAATTTTTCTTGCCTCTCTCATTTTCAGAACAGCTCCCTCACTTTTTCTTTTGGGTTACACTTTGCTGAAACTCCTCACCCACCCTGAGCCAATTTGGCCAAACCAATCTGTGCTTTTGTGATTATTTGTAAACTCACACCTCAGACTTTTTGGCCTGAATTATTTTTAGGGTCAGGAGGAAGTGGGGCAGCTCAGGGCGCTCATTACCGCTTCCTGTTGGGTGAGTTCTGTTTCCTTCTCCTCAATCTTTTTCTGGAGCTGCTGCAGGTGGTTCTGCCTCTTCCTGTGCCTCTCCTGGCATTCCTTACGTTTCCTTAAATACCCCTGGATCTCTTCCTTCAGGGCTGCCTGCTCTCTGAGCAGCTCCTCCTGCTGCCTGGAGTTGTTTTCCAAATCCTGCCATGGAAAATAAAAACCTGTGGTAGGAGGAGCTGGGAAGAGGAACCAGCCCCAAAGGTTTGGGTTTGAGACAACAGAGCTGGCCCTGGCACACTCAGGGCTCCTTCCACTCAAAGCAGCCACAAAGTGAATTAGAAGAAGGAGACACCAGATAAAAAGCCAGAAGGTGCTGCTTGGTTGGTTGTTTTTAAATTATCTTCTTCCTAAGAAGCAACAAACCCTCTCCACACTCAGCAAGAAGAAGGCAACAAAGCAATGCCTGTGCTCAGCTCTGCAGGGCTCTGGTGTTGAGCTGTGCCCTCACAAACAGGTCAGGAGCAACAACAGCCTCCCAGAGTGACCATGAGGATGGGTTTCACTAAAACCAACCTGTTCCACAAGGTGAAGCTGCTGCCTTGAGTCATTCAGCTCTGCTTTCAGTCTTTCCAATTCTTCCTTCTTCCCTAGAAAAGTATTTGGTGACAAGAATTTTCAATCAGCAATTTGAAATACCAATACACAGAAATTCTCTCTTTTCATGAGCAAAGAATGAATAAGACAAACACAGTTTATGAAATGTCCATGTTAAATTCTTTCTGCCCATGTGAGCATGCTGAATGTTTAATATCATACAGTTCAGCTCAAGTGTGTCTTTTAACAGAATTTCTCTTAAAGTGTATCACTGCTTACACCCAGAAATTCATCTTTACCTTGAAGATCCCCCTGCACAGCAACAATCTCTGCATTCAGTGATTTCTTCTGCTTGTTCAGTAGCTCTACCTCCTGCTGCAGGTTCTTAACTTCCAATTCCACTTTTTCCATGTTGGACAGTGCAGTTCTGCTGCTGTCTTCAGCAACAGTTAAGTCTCTGTAAAATGTCAATCACATTCTTGTTTAGTTGGAAATTCTTGGTGAGGACTGAAAAAATGTCAGTAAAACCCTCTGAGCCCAAGGGGATGGCAGGAGCAGCCAGAGCAAGACAAATGTCCTGTTCCAAGATGCAACACTTTACTTTTTGTAACATTTCTCCTAGCATTGCCAGGATGTAACAAATGCTGCTGATTCATCAGCTCCACTGCAGAATATTTTTTAAATCTGCTGTAGAGAGGCTTAAAGCAAAAACTCCACAGAACATAAGAAAATGTCCATTCTATATCACTGGGCACCTCAGAGCTGTATTTTTAATTACCACACACAGACATTCACACACTTCCCCATCCCTTTTGATCTCTGCATGAAAAAAAGAAATTCCCCCACCTTTTGGTTTGTGACAACCTCTTCTCCAGAGTCCTGGAGTCCTCCTGCAGCTGCTCCTTCTCCCTGGCCAGAGCCTCGATGCTGCTCTGCAGAGCTCTCATCTGGGAGCCCAGGACCTCGTTCTCCTCACGGTCCTTCCTGAGGAGCTGCTCCTGCCAATCCACCTCCCCTTGCTGACACTGGAACAACCTCTGAACATTCTCCAGTTTTAATTTTTCCTAGGAGAAACAGGCATGGTGAGCAGCACGTTTCTATGGTCCAGAAGCAGAACAAGTATTGACACCCTCGGCTGCAGTCAGAGTGATTTCAGTGGAGTTGAAGTTTGAGTGCATTCAGTGGAGGAAGGTGACAATGAAATGTCACCTTCCTTGGGGACCTTTTTAATGCCAGAGATGCCCCAGCTCAGCTAAACTCCCTTCCACACTCATTGTTTGGAAGTGAGGACACAGGATCCAGATAAAAAGACTCTGGAAGCTCTTAAAAACCAGCATCCATCATTCTACAGCCACAGAAGAGTTTCTGTGCTCCCTCTGTCTCACATGCACCAAAAAATCCCATTATTTTAAAGGGCCTAGGCAGACTTAAGACTTTTCTGTGATAAGCTGAAATCAGATTAGAAACTGATTGATTTAAAAGTATCAGGACTCTTACCCAAGGCTTCAGAGAACCACAGATCTCCCAGTTTCTCATCAGCCACAGAAGCATTTCTTACCTCTAGAACAGCCACCTGGGTCTTTTCCAGCTCATTCACCTTCTGCTCATGTTGTAGTTTCAAACCTTCCAGCTCATTCTTCTCAAGTTCCAGCGTTTCCAGCACATGTTTCAGTTCTAGGAGGTGAAATACAGAGCAGTTATTGGATTAGGATGAGAACTAAAGAGCTCTGTGTGTTCCTTCCCAATCTGCACAAAACCCAGTAAATCCCAGGACATACCCATCTTATGCTTGCTGATTTGCCCAAGTATTCCCTGGAGATTTTCCTCCTCATTTCTAATATCCTTCTTTAGGACCAAAAGCTGTGCACTTCTCTCATTCATCTGGACATCCAGTTCATTCTTCTCAGCACTGAGCTCTCCCAGAAGTACTTTTATTTCCTGTGAGAATGTATCAGTGTTACAAGGAATACCATTCTTTGCAGTTCTAAATTAATATTTCATTTAAACTGAAGTTCTAAATATGTATAAAATTATTTAACAGTCTGTCATCAATATTGTGGTTTAACAAACAAAAATACAGAATATTTAAGTTAAGGTCTTGTTTGTTGATGATTTGGAGTAGTAATTCTGCAAAGATTTTGATCTCCAAATCTTACCACAACATTGTCATTCAAGAGAATAACAGACCTTAAAACAAAACCAGCCAAGAAGCCCTCACAAAAGAAAATAAACCACAAAATATAATTAGCCCTGATACTTGGTTTTGATTTCAGCAGGGAAGTACAGAATCCTCTCTGTGCAAACGGGGATGGGGACAGACTGGGGCAGCTGTGCTGTGTTTTACACACACTGATCACACTGATTTCCTCCAGCAGCTGCTCCCCAGCAACAGGAAGTCATTCACACATTTATATTTAATGTAACTTAGCTCTCAAGGGACCAATTCTGTAAGAATTACTGGAACTGGGGAGTTCTTTGTGAATCTGGACCAAGGTTTTAGTCACACCAATCCATAAAATCCATGTTCTGTTTCTCAGTGGGTTTGGGGAGGGCACAAAAAGCAAAACTGATTTTGTGGAAACCTCTTGGAAGGTTTGTAGTACTTCAAGTCTTTTGCTACAATGATTTGAAAACTCATTTGGGAAACTTGCCCTTATTTGGCGAAGTTTTTCATGTGCTTCAGTCTCTCCATCTCGAAGAGCTTCTTTGAGGTCACCTGTCCTTTGGGAAATGCACTCCTGAAGGCCATGGAGCTCTTCTGTTCTTTGAGTCACCTGCTGCTCCAGGAACAAGAGCTCTTGCTTCTGAGCAGAAATCTACAGTGGAGAATTTAACAGAAGAATCAGTGCAAGCTTGTGTTTGTGTAGCTAAACATGAAAAAAACCCACGTGAAAAAGAGAGACTGGGATCATAATTGTGAGACAAAAGTTCAATTCCAACCAAATGGATAGCCCAGGGTTCCTAGGCCAAGCCTCACCTGATCTTTCAATGTTTCCAGTTCAGTTTTCTTGCCCTGAACAAGGTTTTCTGCTTCTCTGATGATCTGGAGATGCTGGCCCTCGTTACCTTCTGCAAGTCTGATGTCTCCCTGGAGCTTCTGCAGACTGAGAGTGAGGATTACAACAGGAGTCAGAAGAAGTGGGACTATCTTAGGAAGTGACTCACTGGAGGAGGACATGTCTAACTTAACACAGTCCATGGTAAATTGAAAGTCCTCACCTTTCAGTGAGCATTTCTATCTTCTGGTTTAATGACTGCAACTCAGAGTCTCTTGCAGCCACCATTTTGTTGATTTCCTTCAAAATACCTTCTTGTTCCCTCTTAAACTGTTCCAAATCCCTCGTATCTGTCTGTAATAACCTAGAAGAGCATTTATGCCTTTTCATATTAACATTTCAACAGCTCTCCCCCTCCAAAAGCAGTGCCTTGGTACTGGATAGATCCCAGTCCTTGTCCTCACCCCGTGTGCCACAAACCCACAGGAGCACCCAGGGTACCTGAGCTGCTGAGATGCTTTCACAAGTTTGGTGGCTGTTTCCTGAGCCCTCTGCTCCAGCTCCTCTGCCTCCATTTCAGTGCAGGACAAATGGTGTTTGGCACGGTTGTACTTCTGCAGAGCCTCTTTAGTCTAAAGCAAAAATTGGAGATTGAGATGATACGTTCCTTGGGCTGCATTTGCTGTTCAAAGGTGAGCTCCTGGCTTGGATATTCCACCTCAGCCTTCTCCCTCTTTCTACCATGAACAACTTTTTCTCCTCTCTTGTCCAGAGCAGAAAACCTTCCTCCTCTTCAACAAGGACTAAACCAAGTTCTTCTAGCACAGTTTATTTCCCAACTTACTTTCTAGAAGCATTTAAAGAGGTTCCAGGTTACCCATGTGAAAATAAACCGCCTAGACAAACAAAACAGCACTCAAATCCTTCTGCCCTCAGGGCTTTGCCTTCCCTCACCTTGCCCCGGGTGCTCTCCAGTTCCACCTGAGCCTCTGTGAGGAGCCTGTCAGCCTCTCTGAGCTCAGCCCGGCGTTTCAGGAGAGTTTTCTCTGCACACTCAATCTCCTCTGCAACATCTTCCTGCTGCTGAAGGGACTTCTCCAGCTGCAGCTCTGCAAGGAGGCTGTCAGCATGGCCATCAATAAAGTCCCTGAAAGGTCAGGATGAAAAACACGGAATTAAAATACAAAGATGCCAAAGATCTGGGAGCCTCTTGAAGTTCTAGACTTGTAAACGAGTCACAAAGCTGACTTTTGCTGGGCAAAGGTTTAGGTATTTGCACAGGTTTCCCCTCAGTGCCCTTTCCCACCTGCGTGTGCTCAGTTTCTGAGCTGCCCGGCGCAGCTCTGCCACTTCACGTTCCAGCTCTTCTCTTTCCTGCTCAAGTTCTTCAAGATTTCCATGCAATCTTTCCACCTCCTTTCTGTATTTATGCTCAGCTGCCTCTGAGCATTTCTCTTTGTATTTCTGAGACTTTAAATAGCACACGGTGTCTTCCAGCCTTGAGACTTCACTCTCCTGCACACAGGGAACAGAACAACACAATCAGGATCTATTTTCCAGCTGAGGCCTCCTGACACCCAGGAGCAGCTCCAGATGGCAAAGGCTGTAACCAGACCCAGACCCCTCCTAGCAGGAAGCTTTTCCTAGAATACATTTGTTCCCAAGGGTCCCAGCTGCAGGCTCTTACCAGATCCTGATGTTGAGGCACGTTGCAGTGGAGCACTCCCAGGGGAACCAGTGGCACGGTGCAGTTTGGAGGCAGAGGGCCACAAACCACCTGGGATCCCAGAGGAGCTGGGCCATGGATGATGGATCCAGGAGCAACTGGAGCTCCAGGGGCTGCTGCAGGAGGGGGGCCATAAACCCCCACGCCCTGAGGTGCAGGGGCCCCATCTGGAAGGGCAGTGTAAATAACTGTGCCCGGGGGTGGGACAAAGGGACAGGCTTCAGGGACGGGAGATCCTGCATTTCCTTCACCATCTTCTTTTGCTCTTATTTCTTTAAAAGAGACAAAACCAAACATGTTACTTTTAATAACTTTTTCAGTAGAGATAGTCTTCAAATGGACATCCTAAATTCTATGTAATTTACAAAAATGTAACAAATGTTGCTTAAAAAATTTATTCAACTGTTTATTCAGTAATAAACATTTATATTCACTGATGCCCATAAAAAATAAAAAATCTCAGTGAACTCTAAGCAAGCATTTCTTTAGTCTGCTCCTAAACATTCTGAGACTGACTCTGACTTACCTTTGCCAGAATTTGCTTCGTACAGCCTGTTTCTGACTGGTGAATAAACCCAACATCCTTGGCTGGGCAAATCCTCCCTCCCACAGGGCCTGTGCTGAGCATCCTCTCTCCTGGCTGGGGATGTGCCAGAGCACCCCAAACACACTCCAGAGTCTTTAGTGCTCTGGGAAGCAGGAGTTGAAGCCTAAAAAAAATAAAATACAGCATGTGTTAATCTAGAAATGACAAATCATGGCAAATAAAGGAGTTGTTGCAGACATTTTAAGGATTTTTCAGAACAGGTTACACATACCCTGCTGCCTCTCAGCTCTAAGCATGATGCTGCTTTAAAAGCACTGAATATATTTTAACAGTATTGGTTTTAAATTCAGACAAATACCCCCATGAAAGCAATGTTTGTCTGTAACATCTCCTTTTAACCCTTACCTACAGGGATTTTCAGCACTGCCCCTGGACAGTTCTGTCCCCATGTTATGTACCTGGACTCCTATCAGCATAGTAAAGGGCTTTACCAGGGAACATTTGTGTGTGATTTATTTCAGTACTTCTCCTACATGCCAGCCAATATGTGTTCTTAAATTTCTCCCAAACCTACTAAATTTAAAATGCACTTTCCCCCATCAAAGGGCTTTCCACAAGGAAAACAACCCACCAGAGGATTTTTATTCCTGACCTGTGATGATGGCAGGTAGTACCAGTATCCCCCTCTTTTCAGGGGCTCTGCTGTGCTGGGGCTCTGATCATTCTGCTGTAAGAGCACATTTCTGAGGGCTGCAATTTCATCCTGTAAGGTTTCAATTTCATCTTTGTTACCTGGAAATTAAGCACAGTTTTAGAGTCATCCAAGGCAAATGGTTAAATAGATACCATTTCTGAGGGCTGCAATTTCATCCTGTAAGGTTTCAATTTCATCTTTGTTACCTGGAAATTAAGCACAGTTTTAGAGCTTAATCCAAGGCAAATGGTTAAATAGATATTGCAGTCAACTTTTCCCTCAATGTTATCCAGTTCAACTGGAACTATACTTAAAAAAATTAATTGCTGAGGGAAACAAACTAAATATTATCTGTAATGACAGGCATACACAGGGGGTTTGGTGATTTGAGATTGGGGAAATACAAGTTCAGATCCAGGTAAGTGCTGCTCATTTTGCTTACACAGAGCTCTGCCAATGTCCTGAGCAGTTTAAATGGAATGCTCAGCACAATCAGGGCTTCCTAAAGAGCTGTAAAGAGTGCAAACTAATGAACATTGACACATATCTTGTATAAACCTGTGCAGAAGGATATTCTCAACACTATTCTCCAGATTCAAACAGTGAGAAATGGGGAATAACAATCTTCTGTATCTCTGTCTGTGTGCAAGAGGTGGAGAGAAAAGAGAAATTACCTGTCCCAGTATTATCCAAGAACCATTTCAAACGGTCAATCTCTGCTTTTTGCTGTTCCACAGCTTCACTTAATTTATTAATTTCAAACTTCTGAGTGTCTGATGCAACAGTTTTCTCCCCAGCTTTCTCCATTTCCTGCAGAAGCTATTTGAAATAGAAGTTTCAATCACAAAAAGCTCCCACTCAATGCCACAAAGCTGTCCTTCCCATCCCCTCATATGAGGATGCTTGAGTGAACAGGTGATGGCTCTCCTTACAACTCACGCTGCTCCAGGTTTTCAGTTTGCTCTGGGGCAGGTGTCAGGGGAGGGAAGAACACTGATTTGGGAAAACTTGAGGGGAAAAGGGCAGGGCAAGAACCTCTAAACATGACATTTCCAGAAACTCACTGGTATTTTATCATATAACACAGAGCAAACAACCTACTTGCTCTTCCTTCTCCTTCAGGAGTTGTTGCAGCAATTCTCTTTCTGCTTCTGCTTTGGCAAGAGCCTGGGAAGCACGAGCTGCCTCAGCACAGAACTCCTGGGCTTCCTCAAGCTCCTGAAATTGAGATTTCCATTTGAGCTGTAGTTTGCAGGAACGTTTCTCAGGCTTGAGATGTGCCATTGTGAAAAGTTAACCACTGAGAAACATCAGCACCTGACTGTTCTGGAAGCCCAGACACATGTAAAATACTGTTTCTCCTTTAACTTCACAGCAGTGGTACAGAGGAGAGGTTATTATGTAGCTAGAAGTACTTCCCAGTTTGAAAAGGAGTTTCCAGTCCTTTCTTTTGTTTTTCTGGCTTACAGAACAATGTATTATCTATTGTTTGCCTTTCAGTTAATAAAAGACTAATGATCTTCCCTCTCCCTTTCCCTCCCACAGCAGGAACCTGTCCATACCCACATTTCCTCCCTCACCTCCTGCATCTCAAACTCTGCCCAAAGCAAGAGCTTCTGTGCAGCTCAGAACAATTTAGAAGAAAGCTCTGAAGCTCATTTGAAGGACACCAGCCCTGCTCCCACCACAATGGCATTAACAAGCAATTAACTCATTGCCCATGCTGATTTACCTCGGCTCTCTCCTGCTGGATCCTGAGCACAGTCCCCTGCAGAGCCTGGAGCTGGCTGGCAGTGATGGAGAGCTCGTTGGCTGCCAGCTTGTCTGAGGTGATCACTGCTCTCTGCAGCTCCTTCAGCTCCTTGTCCAGACTCAGCACTTGCACTTGTGCCCTGGCATCTTCTATTTTTTTCTGAAAGCAGGAAAATAGACTTTAACAAAGTACTTTCTTTCATCTTCCCCCCACCCCATTTCATATTATTTAGGAAAAAATCTAAAGTGAGGACAAGCAGTAAAATTTAAGGAAAAGCAAGATGTTGTATTTAACATTTGTGTTCCTGCATGTGTTGTTTTAACTTAGAAAGCAAAAATTCACAAGTTTTTGTTTCTCTTTCCTGAGCAATCCAAGGGTGCACAGACCTGCCCTCACCCATTCTTACCCTTTTCTCCAAATCCTCCAGCTGAGCAAGAATAGCCTCTTTTTCTTCATCTGCCTCCTGGAGCTGCTGATCAGCCAGGCCCTGAATCTCCTCCATGCTCTTTATTTTTTCATGTAAACATTGAATTTCATTCTCTAACTGATGCACCTTGTTCTTATTTTGCCTGTTTTCAGCTTTAACCTGTAAGTAAAATGCATTAGAATAAGTGGCCATACACTTTTTTCCAATCAAAAGCCAACCTGTTTTAATTAAATTAATTAAATTTCTGAGAAATGCAGTTACCAGCATACTTTGCATCAAAACAGAAAGGAAAGGCAACTACTGTGCCACTGTAGCTGTAATATTTAAGAGTGCCTCAGTTATTTTATTAGAGATCTGTATAATGATCTTTCAAGAAGGTTCAGAGCTGTGTTTTTCTAGTGGTCTTTAAAGTCTTTGTTGCCTCTGAGAGATCATTGACTAAATTCCAATTCACCAAATAATCAGGTAAAAATCAGGAAGAGTATTAATGAAAAATCAAATCAGACTGCACTGTTACACAGAGGACAGAGCACAGCAAAGCTTCAAGTGAGACTTGATCCTTCAGCTGCAGGTGACATTTTTTAGACTAAGCTGAAATTGTCTCACTCTTCCTTGTGTTGTTTGATACATGCCTGTCTGTATTTCTCCTGCATTTCTTGCAGTTTTTCCTGCTGGGATACCACTTCTTCCTGCAACTGTCTCTGTCCAGCCTGTGCTCTCTCTTTTTCCTTCTGTGCATCAGCAAGGATGTCATTGAATTCCTTCTGCAGACTTGCAAGGTTTTTCCCTAAAATATCAGCTGAATTTGGACACCTGAAAGAGAAACAATCAGGTTCTAAGACAGAAAACAGTGATTTTAAGTTGTGACCCCAGATACTGAAATCATGACTAACAAACAGTGCAAGTTTGAGAGATGCTGTGTAATTCAGTCAGGTTAGGTTGGAAAAGCCCTGAGTTCATCAAATCCAACCACTCCCCCAGGACTGCCAAGGCCTCCACTAACCCATGTCCCCAAGTGCCACATCTAAACATTTTTTAAATCCCTCCAGTGCTGGTGACTGCCCTGGGCAGCCTGTTCCAATTCCTGTCAAGACTTTCAGTGAGGAAAATTTCCCAGATATCCACTCTGAACCTTTCCTGGCACAACCTGGGGCCATTTCCTCTTGTCCTGCCCCTTTCACATGCTCAAATCTCACACTGCACTTTCATTTTACTCACTTCATCTCTCCTGCTCCTGTCTGTAGCCTTTTCCTGAGTTCATTTATACAAGCCATGACATCCTCAGGATGAATTAAGTTACCAACTGCATGGTTTAGCTGATTCTGGAGATCTTTAAGCTGTTGTTTTAGGAAATTATTGTCTCCCTAAAAACAAACAAAAAAAATTTCACACAGATGTAAGCAAATAAATCCACAAGTGATAATAGCTAGGATTTTTATACACCAGAAACTTCACCTGCAATTGCTTGAACTGTAAATGCAGCTTGTAATTTTGTTGTTCCTTTTCTTCTGCCAGCTGTGCTTTGCTCTGAGCATTCTCTAACAGCTGTCTTTCCTTTTCAAGTTCATCCTGCAGGGCTGACAGTTCCACCTACAAAACCACAAAACCTCCAGATTAATATCCCCACTCCCAACCCCAACCTGTCACCCAAACACACGACAGATGCATTTCTTAAAATGCAATAATATGACAACACCTAGAAAAGATCCAAGAAAACAACCCCAAGCAAACCATCTGCACCTGCTTCAGAGCACAGTTCTAAATCCCAGCCAAGTGACACTGGGGACACACCTACACCAGCAGCTGTGATTTAGCTTTGGAGATGAGGTGTCCTGGGGTAGCTAACACCTCTGGCAGCACCAAAGCTCTGTTCTTACCTGGCTAAGTTGTTTCAGTCTTTCAAATTCTTCTTTTTGCTGCTTGGCTTCAGCATCTCTCTCTCTTAACTGAGCTTCCAGCTCAGCCTTGTGGGTGCTGACCTTCTCCTGAGCACCTTGAAGGGACTCATTTATCTCTCTCTGCTCCTGGAGTGAACTCTCCAACATTGCAATTTCCTGGAATTTAATACCCATTTTAAAAGGATGTACATGGGACAGCCAAAATTTAAAGAGCATTTGCCTCCCCTTTAACTCAGCAACTCCATTAAAATTTGAATGGGGGTGGCACTTCTACCTGCAAGGCCAGGTCAGAGGTGCCACTGGCTGTCCAAAATCTCCCCCCAGCTTAGCAAGGTGGAGCTGGAAGTGAAGCAGAACTGTGCCAGGAGTTCAGGCTCACAGAACACTCCTCAGGATGCCCAGACTGCTCTGTGTCACTGGCTGACAGGGCAGATCCAGCTGCTGACACACCCCTGGGCAGTGTCAGAGGGTTCACTGCTGCCATTCCCCAGAGTCACCTCCAAACCCATTTGCAGTGATGTCTGCAAGGTGAAACCTGCATTTCTGAGCCATCTCCCACAAAGCACAGCTTTACTGCCTGTCTCTTACAAGTGGTTTTAAAGGCCAGATTCTATTCTTGAGGTGTGTGGGCACATCTCATCATGTTCCTGTATCAGAAATTATTTTGTCCAAGGAATTGTGCTTCCCTAGTCCCAATCTGATCACCAGCTTATTTTTTCAAGTTTATTCTTAGATATCTAAACTTGGGAATAGAGGTATTAAGCCTTACTTTTCTCATATTTTCTGCATCCATGGCAACCACTTCCAGGTTGTTTTTATCCTCCTCCAGACCTGCCAATCTTCCCAGCAAAGATTCTTTTTCCTTTTGCAACTTCTTACACTCCTCATTGGCCTGTTTTGCCTGATGCTTCACACTCTGCAGGTATTCCTGTAAGCCAATGATAATACTTTCCAAATCCCTTTTCAGTGCTTCATTTGTTGCTATTTGACCTGCAGGAATGCAAAATGAATTGGAGGTAGTTAAGAAGCCACAATTATTTACCAAACAAACCAAACTGCCTTCCTTCATCATTTCAAATGTTTGCCACTGGAGTAAGTAAAAACAAGTACCTAGAACTCAACGAGAAAATATTGTTTTTAAGGTTAGGATTCCCAATATTACTGTGTTAACCTGACCACTGGAAGAGTTAAAAGAAATTGCAGAAATTGTACCTATTCTGTATTTCATTTAAGCAAAGATAAACAAAACAAACCTCAATTCAATTGTCATGTTGCCCTAAGTACAAGAAATACCTTGAGACAAAAATTAAAAGTGTACCATCAGTGAGCTGCTGCTCCAAATCCTTGATTTCCTCAGTTTCCTTGGCAATCCTGCAGAGCATCTCATCCAGGCGAGTCTCCAGCTGCTGGCAGTGTCTGTTCATCATATCCAGGTGCTGTTCTTTACTTGCTTTTTGAGCTTTCATGTGAGCCTGTCAAGTAACAGAAAGGCAAAGCAGGGCATCAACACAGATTTAAAACATCAAACTGGGATTTTGTCTCAGTTCTGCAGTGTCCCACTATCAGCAAGTAAAGCCATGTGGTGCTTTGGGGTTTGTACTTGTTGGTATTTCCCTCAGTCCTGCCCCACAAAGGACCCCAGATAAGCAGCAATCTGTGAGTGCCAGCATTGTCTGCAGGCTCCCCCTGCCCAGGCTGAATAAAGCCTGCATTTATAAGTTAGTACTCATGGCTACTATCTTTCTTCCTGCCTTTACATTTGTTCTACCATTTCCTCTCTCAGTCAAGAACAAACATGATTTCTCCCAGAACCTTTAATCCTGTCATTCTGCATTGCCCTCACAGCAGATGATGCTTTAGAACATGTCAGGTCAGCACTTGAATGAAAATACTCTGAATAAACAGCAAGTCGGGTCAACTTTACAGTTACTAAGTAAATATTCCTAAGTAAATCTTATTTTATTAAAATATTTCTGAGAGATACATTACACAGCTCACACAGACTCTGGCAAGGACTTAATGCATTTAGGATGAATTAACTGATTGTTTCAGCTGTTTACAAAAACTTGGTTATCAACAGAATAAAGTGTTATTTCTTACCAGTGTGAAATTGCTCAGAAACAACTCAAACACCAGAAACCGGGGAAAATACAGAATTATACTGTCACGATTAACTGCATGTTTTTCTTACTACTCAAAAAAAAAAATAAATCAAGCTAACAGTAGAAAATTTAAATATGAGTTCTCAGAAGAAAGAACACTTACAAAGTTGCTTCCATAACAAAAGTAAATGGATAACACCAAAGCTTTTTGTATTTTTAATAGATTAAACCGGAAGTTAACTTAAAAATACATATCAGCACAGTTCAACTTGTCACCTTGCTAAACACAAACTGCCCTGCAGCCTTCAAAACCCAAATTCCAACAAGCAAAGCTCGAGCCGCCGCCACTCAGCCATCTTGCCGCGGCTGCTGAACGGCACCAAAAATGCACTTTTAAAAAGAAACAAAAAGCCACAAATCCCCCCCACTTACAGCTTTGCCTTTGTCTTTCCTTCCCGAGACAGCACTTGCAGGACGCCCCACCCCTGAGCGGGAATTCATTTGAATAAAGCACCGGAGCTTCGGCACGGCAGGAGCTGAGCGGAGTCTGCGGGGCCGGGCCGGGGGCCGGGGCTGCAGCTGGAGCTGGAGCTGGAGCTGCTGCCCTGGCTCTGCTGCTGCTCCCGGCCCCGTTCCCGGTCCCAGCCCCGTTCCCGGCCGTTGGCCCGCACGGCGTTTCCTGTGTTGTGATTCGAAGCGAGGGGCGGCCTCGGGCAGGGCTGGGCCGGCTCCTGCCCCTGTCCCGCTCCTGCCCCTGCCCCTGCCCCTGCCCTGCCCCTGTCCCGGCTCCTGCCCCTGTCCCGGCTCCTGCCCCTGTCCCGGCTCCTGCCCCTGCCCCGGCTCCTGCCCGGCTCCTGCCCCTGCCCCTGCCCCTGTCTCTGTCCCGCTCCTGCCCCTGCCCCTGCCCCTGTCCCGCTCCTGCCCCGGGAGCCTTCCCGGAACGTGCTCGGCCCTTCTGCCACCCAACAGCCGAGGAAATTAAGTTTAAAACACAAAAGGAGCTTTTTAAACAAGTGTTTGCGTGCCTCTGCTGAAAACGGAGCCAAGCAGGGAAATACTTTCATTTCTCACTTAAAAGCACCGAGCTGGCTTGAAAAACTTTCATTTAGAGATACAAGCTTTTTAAAAAACTCTATTAAAGATAATTCAGTTAAATTTTATTTTAATTTCTCTAAGTGTTTGCTGTACCTGAGCACAGTTCTAACTCAGAAAAGTCCTGCACCCCTGATGATCACAAATTTAGCTGGAAGCTGGGGCTCTCCTTGGCACCCCAGCCCCAGGAGCTGTGCCCTTGCTGATTCTCTCAGGGCTGGAGGTGACAGCAGGGAAAGGCCATCAGCCCCCACCAAGCAGGCTGGATAAGCACTGCCACACACAGATCTTTAAAAACCTTTAAGGCCAGACTCCACAAAAAGATGCACAAAGGATTTCTTACACAGAAATTGTCTGCAAGGCTCTGCCCAGTGTGTCTGTGCAAAGCATAAAGATGTATTTCTTAATGTGCTCTACAGCACCTGCTGGGAAAATGAGCTGCTCAAGTGTTTAACCAAAGCTGGTTGGTTTGCTGGGATTTTTTAACTGTAAAGATTTTTTGACTTTCAAACCATAAGTTAATGACTTTGATAAACAGCAAAAGAATATCACTCAGGAAATAGGCACAAGTGAATGGGCACCTGCTAAAGCTGCCTTTAGTCCATTGCACAGTATATAAAAATTTCAGATTCTGCTTTTACTTACATGCCTTGGATCCTCAGGATTTACAGACCCAAGAGAACTCTGCAAATCTTCAAGCTCTTTTTGATTTTTCCCTATTTCTCTTTTCTGTTTCTCTATTTGTTTTTCCAGTTCTAAGGTTTCATTGCGTAGCTCCTGCAGGATTTGTAACTTTTCACTCAATTTCTGTTCAATTGCTTCCTTGCTGGCCTGGGAGATCTGGAGACAGCATTTGGATGTTGAGTGGTTGGAAATACACAGATGATCAAGAATATATTTAACATTTAAATAAAGACAGTCCTGGTCACTGGTTTTCAGGCAAGATTAAAAATTAAAAATAGCAACAACTGATGCCAGTGGAAGAAGTGGAAGAGCTGTTTTAGTTTAATGCTGATAAATTAATTCTTGCTGCCAATTCTGTAGCCACATTGCTTATCAGCTGCTCAACTCAACCTACACAGGAGGTTCTTCCAAAGGGTTCTGGGGAAGTCAGCAATAAATCAGCAGCAACATGGAGCAGATGCCATTAACTGCACTACAGCTCTAACAGCTGATTTATGAACAAGCTCTCTAAAACTTGGAAGATTTTTCTGATGCTTGACACATGGATTTATGTCTGTACAGTGACCTCCTTATAAGAATGGGGAGAAAAAAGTTGTATTTTCTTACACCAACACCGCTTCAAACACCTTCCTTGCTCTTTGTGGAAAAACTTACTTTTTTCTGAGCCAGAGCATCCTCCAGTTGCTGCAGTTCCCCTGTTACTTTCAGCACTTGTTGCTCTGCATCTCCAATTTCACTTTGCAGTTCTTCTAATCTTCTTTGTGCTGCAGACAAAAGAAACCCAACACAAAACCCACAATCCCACAAAATACATTATAATATTGTGTATAACACTGACACACAGCTGTGTATGAACACATTAATCAGCACTAATCAGCATTAACACCCTGATAATTACAGCTAATGCATTCTGCTTTCTCAGAAAGCAAGTCCAAAGTTTAACAAGTACAACACAATTAAATTCATGCATCAAATATGAAACCTCCCTAGAACTGTGTTTTCAATAACATGTAATGCTCTCATCCTGAGTTATCTTAAAATAACAGCAGTAAGAAACTGTAGCAGTTTTGACACCAAAAATGCATCAAGTCCAGTGTTTAACAATCACAGCACTTCCAGCCTTTGACACACTGTTTCTATCTGATGTCAAGCATGTAACCTCTGGAATAAACCATACTGACACACATGTTTTTATCTTCATTTAATAAAAAATAAGGTTTTACCTGAATTAATCTTTTCTCTCTTATCCTGCAGTACTTTATCTAGACTTTGGAGATGTGATTCCAGCTGGGGTTTCCTACAGGAGTCATCTTCCTGCTGTTGCACTTTCCCAACCTGCAGCTGCTGAGCTTGGTCGGAGATGTAGCCTTCCCTTATGAACATATTTCTTTTGTACCTGGCCTTGCCAATGTAGGGACTTTCACCAGGTACATCATCAAGTTCAACCTCCTGAAATGCAAGAAGCAGAGTCTTTATCTCAGAACTATGGCTGCAGTCAGCTCCTAGCATGCATTGAGTTCTCTTATTAAGCACAAAAAGGAAAACCACTCTGAAATTAGAAGAATAAGAAGAAAACAGATTATGCTTAACAGTTTTGGCCTTGAACATTGTTATTTTAGAACGGAATTAAAACCAATCAAACCCAACTGAGGTGTGCCCAGTTTGTTGCAGATGTCTGGAGGAACTTTTTCTTAGTATATTAAATTTACTTAGATTCTATTTAGTACATACATTGTTGCACTTAAGTTTACTCAGACATAACTTAATCGAAGTCTGATTACTGATTTTTACTTTTCTTATGGATTTCATTCTGGCATTTTTGTTTGCAGGTATGACAGAGGTTGTGCCTTTAAAAAAGCAGTATCTATTAGATTATAGGAAAACTAATAAGGTTTTTATTTTTCAAGTTGAAGAATCAAGGGAAACAGCAATAAAAAGATCCATGACTTAAAAATTATTACCTCTGAGGGCAAATAATTCAAGGGCTCAAATTTGACATCGATCTTGTAAAAGGCCAGCTCCTGCTCCAGCTCATACTGCTTCTGGCAAGCCCGGGTCAGCTCCACTGTCTTCTGCTTCAGCTAAGGAAGCAAAAACCCAGTGAGATCATCCTCTGGAATTCACTCGTCACTGGCACACACAGTGCAGCTCCAGAGAGAGCAGGGCACAGCCCCCAGTGTGGGAACAAAGCTCACAGCACAGCTCAGGATCAAGGATATCACAAAGGGCACTTTTACAATGGTGACTAAGAGGAGACAAAAGCCCCACAATTAATAGAATACAAATGATCACATGAAAGGCCTTTTAAGTTTATGTACATCAAAGTGACAAGTTTATTTTTAACCCTAGTTTAGGATAAAGCAATAATTTGGGTATGATCCTTCAGCAAAATCTAGGCCAAAATAACAAATGCATTTACTGCTACTAGTGAGCATGAGGACTATTAACCAAAATATCTCAGTTGTCAAGAGTACAAAGTCTATGTATTTTATTTTAGCCTAACTATGTGCTAGATTGGTTTTGAGGTTATTTTTAAGTAAAGGTCCATCATGTGATTTCTTTTTAAATCAACTTTTCACACTGAATACCTGAAGGAGAACATGCAGCACGATTCCAATAGAGAGTGGAAAGCAGAACTAATGGAGGAAAAGAAATAGAACAGGAAAGGCTTAAAGAAAGATTTCAAAACCTGATAAATGTCATGCAAAAATTAACTCTGTTTCAGAGAAAAGGGGGAAAAATAGGAAGAAAATTGTATTCCAAACCATAGTGACTATAAAAATCTCACTGGGACACTTCATAATAATGTTGCTACTTCAGGGAACGTGCAAATACATCCTAGAAATAAAACCAGCCATGCAACCCAGGGGCACAGTGGGGCTACCTTGAGTGAGGAACAAAGGCTCTGCAGGAAGGGGACTGTGACAAACCCAGACACCAGCTAAAGGGAGACAGAAGTGAGCCAAGTTTGTCATCCAAAGGAGAAGAGAGGGGTCAAACTGCAAAGTATTTGCTTCTAATCTCCTTATACTGCAAACTTCATTTTAGAAGCAGACTGCTGGTTAGTGTGTGTGTTCAGCTATAGAAGTACCAGGTATGAGAGTCTGAAGGATAAAATTTCAGAGGACAAGTCTCACAGGATAAAATCCAAATATTAAGTTCCATCAGGTCATTCACAATCCAGCACTCTCAAGTCAGTAGGACATTGCCTGCATTTTATGGCTACCAATGGAAGAGATTCAAACGTAAGACTTTAGGATGATGTGAATAAAATACAATTAAATTTGTGAGCATTACCCAAAATAATAATCAAGGGCTATTACTGACATACAACTTGTGTGCACATCTTGTTTTTGCAAAAGTAGCAATTTTCTTCCTTATTGCAGCAGCACCTCAGAGTCTGACCAGTGCAGCATATTCAGAACATCAACAATTCAGCAGCTTAACCTTTCATCAACAGACTAAATTTTAAACAGACATATATGAATAATTACTAGAAACAAAGAAGTTACTATCAATCACAGGAGTAATACTCAGTGCTGTTTCCATATACTTAACTTTTTCCACAGAAAGAATATTGAAGGTCAACAATAACTCTCTAAAGAGCTGGAAGTCTCTCAGTTTTAAAATTAAATCTTCAGTCACTTGAACTCTCACACTGACAGCTCTGTGTCTGTTCCCTTAGTGCCAGGGATTATCTTACCAGCTCGTTTTTGGTGCCCAGGTCCCTCTGTAGCTCTTGAAAGCTTTGTCTCTGTTGCACAGCCTTTTCCTTTAGTGACTTGTTGAGCTCATCTTGATGCTGAAGTTGCTCAAGCACTTTGGTCTGGTTAAGTTTCACGCTCTCCATCTCCTTTTTTGTGTTTTCCAACTCTTTTTCTAATTTTTCTATCTCTTCTGAAAAACAAAATCAGAGAAACATCCCAATAGAAAAATCTTTTCCTTCCAAACTTGAATTTCATGTCATTCATTTAAGATTTTACAGATCATTACCCAAATTAAACCTCTCCAGAGCTTCCTGCCTGTCATGGTTTGTCACTGGCTGTCCATCCAGGTTTTCCAGTGCCCTCAGGTGGAATATGGTGTACAAGCAGTAGTGAGGCAGACATGCAACTGGGTTTCCAGCAAGGAACAGAGAGGTCAGATCATGCAGAGGCTTTAGTTTAGCTATATCATGGAGCTAAATCAAAGAGAAACAAAACAATGATTAGACATCCTTCTGAGAAGAATTAAACCCCCAGGAGTAAATTTCTGATTATGTAGGATGGTCTGTATTAAAAGATTTATTGTAATCTTTATGCTGAAGAATAATCTCTAAAAACCTACCAAAATACACAGTATTATGACTAAAGTCACTTCTTAAAATCAAACTATTTCCTCTATAAAAAAATGCCACTGCAAAGAGTGTAAATGCAGTCAAGCTTTATCTTGGAAACGTCAAGATACCAAAGCCTGTGGATGAATAAGCACCCAAAAAGTTATGCTTTCCCAAACAACATAATATAGGTTTGTATCTTCACTACCTGCACAACAGGAGTTTCTCTGATAAATAACTTTATTAGGCTCCCAAGTGCTGCATTTCACAGCAGACTGTGTGGAAAGACACCCAGCAATTACCCAGAGTAAGTCAATCAGTGTAAATACCCCAGCTCAGACTGAACAATGCCTGTTTCTAACTATAATCACTCACTGAGGACACTTTATTCTGTTTCAAATTCAGGCTGCGCAGCGATCTCAGTTTCTTCCCTACCCACACAGGAATGTGCTCAATCTCATTCCCTGCCAGGTTCAGCTTCTGTAGGTTCTGCAAATGTTCTAGGCCTTCAATTTTGCTGAAAACGAGAAGGAAAATGGCATTTGTCATGAATCACAGCAACCCTGAAGTGAAACTGAGGCATTGTGGATAAACTACAACAAAATCTGCCACAATTAATTAACCAAGAGATCAGCACAACCATTATTTAGAGCCATGGACAATTGAAATGAAATGACACCAGCTCACTTACAAGTACTAAATTAAGACAAAAAATCACAGCACAATTTTCCACCATTGTCTCAAACTCATTACTTTTGCATGTCTTCATTTCAACATTAACACTATTTTAATGTGTGGTGACTCCATTTTAATATTGTTTGCAAAATTTGTTCTTTCTCCCTGAGAACATAATGGGACAAAGATGAATCAAAGTTGTTTTGTGGGTTTGGTTTTTCCCCCCCATAAAAAGGGAGGACCATCTGTAAAGTGACAGCATGCAGAGCTACATTTTTAGTGCTTTCATTAAAACTATTGAGGAAACCATGCCAGGTTGTAGTTTATTTGAGCATTTTTTGTGAGTATGTGAGAACATTAAGTAAACCATGAGTATTATAACAAAGTACAGCAGGATGTGCTCCTGTGATTGTACTATTTTTGGGGTATGTATGAGCTGTAAATAACCAGAGTGTGAAAACAGAGCAGGAGCTAGAAGCTACTTAGCCCTTTCCAGTTCCTGTTGAGAGAGGAAGTTGTGTGAATGCAATGTGTAGAAACAAGCTCTGGGGTTTCACTCACTTCCCATTGTACATGTCTCTACTGAAATGGCAGCCTCTCTGCTGCATAATAGTAAAGATCAGAATTCATTGACAGAAAAATGAAAAGCAATTAGGAGTTTTGCTACTGCACGAACCATTACCCTTCAACACTTTAAACAAGACACCAGACTCTCAAAAGAGTTCAAAAGCAATTTAGGGAATTTATGGCCTGCCTGATCAAGCCCATTCAGCTTCCTCTCCTAAAAGAAAAACTTATTATATTACCTGTAATAATAAACAGTAAAAGTTTAATTAATTTTTAATGCACTTAATTGGGTTATTGCTCTTCATTCCACCCTCAGTTGTGGTATCTGGAAACTTGCACTTCTGGCTTGGTTTCCAAGGAAAACAAATTAAACCACAGCCATGTACACTGACAGCACTTCCCAGAACTATTTATTCTTCCAATGCCTCAGAGCTTGGGCTTTTTAAAAATCCCTCAAAGCCTCGACATACAATTGGGAAACACCTCAAGGGTTCACTCCTGTGGGAGAACTCACTTAAACAGGAAAGGAAAATCAGCTTTATTGACCCCAAACCCTGTGGGGTCTCCTCTTACCTGATCCTGTTGCCAGACAAGTTGAGCTCACGCAGCTTCAGCAGTTTATCCAACTTCTCAATCTTCTCTATTTGGTTGTTGCAAAGGTTGAGCACCTCTAGTTTAGAGCACTTTTCCAAATTTTCTATGTACTAAAGAACAGAAAATCCCTCAGCATAGGGTTTGGGTTTTTTTAAAAGAGAAAAGCAGCTTTCTATTAATTAAAAACACCAAGTACTCTAATATTTTATTAATCACAGTTCATTGTGGTGTTCTATAACCCCACTTTAGGTACAGTCTTCTACAGTGCTGGAAAACTGGGTTTTAAATTTAAAGTGGCCTAATCTTCATCTACAGAAAAAGAACATGTTGTTAAAAAAAACTCAAACAAACAAAAAAAACCCCAAACCAATCAAAACTTTTTAAATTTAAAGTGGCCTAATCTTCATCTACAGAAAAAAGAACATGTTGTGAAAAAAAACCCAACCAAACAAAAAAAAACCCCAAACCAATCAAAACCAGCACAATCCAAAACTTAAAAAATTACATTAACTAATCTGTTTTAAACATCATTCTAACGACTAAATTGTTTTTCTTTTGCTGAAGTCTCCATTGTCTTTTTTAACAGAAGCTGGTTTCAGAAGTAGGCTAACAGAATTGGACTGTGCTGTTTACATCCACTTAAAAATAAATCTTTATTAAACAATAAATGGTAATTTTCCTAAACTTAGTTTAATTTCCAGTTTTTTCCAATAACTTACCTTAAATTTTTTGTCCCCATCCTTTGGGGAAGAGAGATTCAGCGAGCTTATACATGCCAGATTTTGCTGTTTTGACAGACCCTTTATAAGGGGTTCAGTTATGTACCTAACCCCTGGGCTAACACCATTTTCACCTGAAATTAAACAGAAAGGATTGATGATTTTATATTTGCTGTTTTCTTTACACTGAGTACTGGAAAAACATTGAAAATGATCCCCCCAGAAGCATTTACAGGAAGGAGTAAAAGTCTCATTATTCTCCCCAGCTTTCATTACTCCCACTTCCACATTTGTGTTCAAAAAAAAAAAAAAAAAACAAAATTAAAGCAATTTTTTCAGGCTTCTTTCCAACAGATCATACATCTTTAATCACACAATTCACAGAACACTGGCTGTTAATGCTTGTGATGTGTGCTTGGATATTAGTATTATTGACTATACAATACCTTTCTGCAATTTAAAAGCAGCTCCAACATTTTCTGCTGGAATATCCCATTGTTGGGGCCTCTGCTCCATGCTTTTGGGAGCAGCTGGAGGTGTCTGTTGGCCAAGATGTGGAGGTGTGGCACCAGAACTGACAGGTGACATTGGCTGAGGTATCAGGGATGCTGATGATTGTGGTTTTCTACCTGAAATTTTCCTTACAGAGCCTTTCTTCATTGCCAGGAGTGCTGGGTATCACATGGCAATACCTGGAGGAACTGAAACAAGTATCAGTGTGCAGAAAGCTAAATCTTAGAGGTCTGCATGACAACAAAGGTGCTGCAGAAGCTGCCAAAAAACACATCTCCAATGGGTGCCAGCTTCCAGTTTTCCTGGCACTGGGAAGAATTTTACCTTTGTACTCCCTCCCCCAGGGACTGATGGAGCAGCTCTGTGTTTGCAGCTCATCTTCCTGCTGCCCTGCAGGCTGTGGATCACACAAAGCCTGCCAGCTCTGGAGATACTCAGCTCAGGCTGACAGAGCTGGCAGGGACACAAACAGAGGATTGGATCCCAAAGCCTGAATTCACCCACTTTGCAGTAAGAACAAATGCAAGCAGAAAAAGGCAACTGAGAAAAAAAAAAATTAGGATCAGTCTAGCACTGGCATTCCCAGAGTTTTCCTTTCTGCAGACAAATTATCCTGTGACTGCCTGGGAAATTCCAGAGAATGTTAACAGAAACCTCCCTCAGTGATGAACACTGCTCCCCAGGGATAAGTCTTGTACTCTGTGTGACAGAGCCCTTGTAGCAACCATCTCCAAGGGACGGAACTTTACTAACATCTCCACCCACTGAACAAGGAGCACGTTTTAAGACATTCTTTAAGACAGAAAAGTCTTGTGATAGGGGAACTTGGAGCTTTGAGTGATGACATCGTGCCTTGAGAATACGTTCTTCATTGTGATGGATTTTCTTTTCCCTCCGAAATTGGAAAGGAAACAAGGAGAAGAGAAGGTGGGGCAAGAAAAAGGGCCGCTGTTTTCCATCCATGACTTGGAAACACAACCCATACAAGATCGGGACAGCGAGACGGGAAGGCTCAGGCAGGAGAGGGAGGAAGATGCAGGCGCGCTACCGCAGAGCCCCATCGGGGCGTTCCTCCGTGCTCGTGGTTCCACCGCTGCTTCCTCACGACAGGCTGTGCTTTCGCAGAGACACCCGGGGCGGCTGAACGGGGGCCCCGTGTCCCCTCAGCCCCCATCCCCTCCCGGTCGCCGCCTCAGGGCGCTCCCGCCGCGGGCCGCCCCCTCAGGCCTCCGCTTTGATTACCTGCGTTGACATGGTAACGCCGTCTCACCTCTCGCCGCCGCGGCACGGGCGGGCAGGGCGGCCTCGCAGCGCTCCCGGAGGATGGCACCGGTCCTCAACGCGCCTCTCCGCCGCCTCCCTCCCCTCGGCGAGCGGTCGCCGCCCGCAGCGCCGAGCGCGGGGTGCTGCGGCTCCTTTAAGGGCGCTCCCTGAGGGGCCGCCCCGCCGCCATTTTGTCCGGTCGGCGGCTGCGGCGGGTGCGGCTGAGGGGCGTGGCTTGTATGAGACCCCGCCCCTTGCTCATTTCCCGCCGCTGAGGCCCCGCCCCCCTCGCCATTTCCCGCCGCGTCCCCTCAGGGGGAGCCCTCAGGGATGTGTGGTAAATAAAGCTCAGATCGCTGTGTAATGTATAAATAAAGCCCAAATCACTGTATAAACAATACAACCTGGAGGGGTTTTGGTTTATTTCAAACCCGAGCCGCTGTATAAACAATAAAACCTGCTCTGCTGATGGGTGTTTTTTCCTTATATGTGTGTGTCACGTTAGCATCTCACTGCGAAATTGCATATAATTGGGGTTTTTTGGAAATACACAGTTTATTTACAGTTATAAACTGCGTGTCCGGTCTAAATCAGAGTCATTTTCACAGAGGCATGTAAAAGTCTCTTTAACACTTGGACTGTGTTAATTCAGCGCGTGTAACTAAGCGTGAAATCCTAGGTTGACAAACCAGTAGGTTGTGTCTCTGAAAAATGTAGAGAAGGAGCATAATTAGATTTAAAAACCACTATTTCAGGTCACTGTTAGACTATTAAAGCATTTCCCAGTGTCCTTCACTATTTGCCTTTTCATTTTCATACCACCCCATTGGTATTTAATAATACATATGTTGGCCATTCATTTTAATAATGCTAAACATCCTACAGTTTATAAGCTTTTACTCAATTATTGTTTCTCTTCTAGTTCCTTACATTTGGTGAGAAGCTGACCTTACTGTAATTTCACTTTATATTGATCAGAAACAGTTTTGAAGATGCTTTTCCCGTAAAGGTTGACCGCAATATTTGTTTAAACTTCAGCAGTCTTGCACAACTTTATTTGACTTTACAAAAACCTATTTGTTGAGGTGCTATCCCAGATACCAGATGCCTGCAAAGGTTTTGGTGTCAATGGTGGGGGGGGGGTTTGCAAATTTTTTCAATTTTTTTTTTTGCAAAATGCTCTTTAAAATGGTGCATGTTGATATATTGTGCCATAATATTTCCATATTGCAGGTTTTATTTGTGATGGAAGTGGTCGGAAAGTTGGCATAATCTAGAATACAAATGGCTAAAAGAAATTTATAAGGGAAAAATATTTCAAAACAACAAAAGAAATAATGCTGGTCCAAACACATCCACACATTGTTTGATATAACTCAAATGCTTTTTTGCTTCAGACACAAATTCAAATTCACTTTAATTTAAATGTTTTTTTTCACTAAGGACAAACGGAATCTTTTTGTTTGTTGGAGTTTTTCCTGCCTCTGAAAATTATTTTATTATGCAGTTGTCAGAAGGAAAGTGAGGACTGACACCGGATTGCTGTGGACATTAAAAATTTAAATCCTAAATTAAAAAATTACTAACTTTAGCAGTTCTGGTTTCCTCAGGGCGGGGCAATAATGTTTTAGTAAGGAAGGATCTGCCATTAATTATTAACTGTGAGTGAAATGTGTTGGCATTTTGCTCACCCACAGCAGAGGCTCTTTAACCCGCCCTCATTAACTTCTATGCTTTGCTCTTGTCCCAGACACAATGGCTATTTTAATATATTTTATTGTTTTGCTATTTTCTGGAACGACTTTTAGCCAAGAGAAAACGTAAGTAAAAGCAAATACGGAATTTACTGGAAATGATATTTGATTGTTGTCCTCTCTTTTGGGTAAATAAATCCAGAATTTAACTAGAGCCAAGACAAAGGGCACTATCCAAATAGGATTTTAATCAGGATTTATTTAATAACCTGGTTATCCTGTTTGCTTTAACACCGTGCATGTAACTGAATTCCAAAGGGAAGTAAGAAATCTGAAAGATTAGAAAGAAATCTGTTATTGTTTTATATTCCGTGTACAGATATGTCCTCACAGCACCAAAGATCTTCCGAGCTGGGGCCTCTGAGAAGATTGTGGTCCAAGCTTTTGGTTACGAGGAGGAATTTCCAGTCAGCATTGCCCTGAAAAGCTTCCCAGATAAGCTCCTTGTGTATTCCTCTGCTCGCATTTCCTTAACCCCAGCCAACAAATTCCAAGATGCTGTAACTTTAACAGTAAGGAATTCAGACCTTTCTTACACTCTTTTTGTTATCACATTTAGCCTTAAAAATATTAAGTTTCAGTACGTTTTCAGTTGTTTAAACTGGGGAGAGAAGGCTAATGCCCCGATTTTTGGTCTGAAATTAAAATTATGCTGAATAAAATCAATGTAACAATATTGAGGTTAAACATAGAATAAAACTGTTTTAGAAACTTCACCATGCTTGCATAACTTTAAAAATAGAGAGGTTCAAATCAAAGTACCAACCACAGCAGCAGCTTTGTTGTGGCCAGGATTCATCACGTGCATAAATGGAAATCTGACAATTTCTACTGTTGTAACCTCATTACTGGGCTTTGAACTTTGCTGGTTTAGTTCTGGGCACAAATAAAATCCAAATATTAGAATATCCATAGCTTTGTACTCCAAACCATCCTCTACCATGTAAGCAAGAATAAATCCTTGTGAGTGTTGATATTTTTATTTAATGATACTCAACCATAGGGTGGTAATTGCTTTTCAGATACTTTTTTGCATCAAAAAATACTGTAGGAAAAAATACACGAAAAATATTTAATAATCTTCAAAAACCTTTATTTCTCCCCCAGGTTCAACCAACAGATTTACCAAGAACAGATACTTCAGACAAGTATTTGTATTTGGAAGCTGTTTCTCCACATTTTACAAGATTTAAAAAAATTCCTGTTTCCTATGAGAATGGGTTTCTTTTTATTCATACAGACAAACCAGTTTATACTCCTGATCAGTCAGGTAAATAATGCTTATTTCTCCTGCCTGGTATTTAATTTTAAGTCTGCTGACTCTGCCAAGAAATTAGGATTTAATTGTTCTTTAAGGTTTTGGTTGTGTTGCATTGCCATCAGCTGATATTTAATTTTTTTATCAGCAGAACAATATTTTGAATTATTTGATCATATTATAAAAGTTAATAACTTCTCCCTGCTCTATTCACCCTAAATGGCTAATTTGTGGCAGAAAGAGTGAAAGATATTCCTGGGAGTTTGTTAAAAATATCAGTAAATTGGTTGGTTCTTTTGATTTTGAGATTTATTGCTGTAATTCTTACAGTGAAAGTCAGAGTTTACTCTCTGAATGAAGAACTGCAGCCAGCTCGGAGAGAGACTGTCCTGACTTTTGTGGTGAGTTGTAATTCAATTTAATATGAATATTTTGTAGTTCTAATAACAAATAAAGGTAGGTAGGTGGATGGGAAATCAGTATTGCAGTCAAGGTTTAATAAAACTCTTAGATGTTTTTGCAGGTAGCCAGACATCTTTTAAAAGGTTTTAAATTGACTTTGTTAGATTGGATAGAGGTTTTCAAGTCCCAGATCTGAAGTTTATCCAGAACACAAAAAAAAAAAAAAATCTTTAATGTCTGAGAAAAGGATTTTTGAGGGGACTTGGATAATGTATGGGTTTTATACTGTTTGTTTCATTTAAGATATAAAAATAATCAGTAGCTAACATAGTTTTTAGCCTTTAACAATTGACTTGTTATTACAGTAATTTTTTAGCTATTTTAAGCATGGCTTTCACTTGGTGGAACTAGAGTGAAGTATTTTATCAAAATTTCAGTCTGAGTTTTTCTACAAATATTTGCGTTTTTATGCGTTGAAGCTCTTAAGAAAAACATGTTATGGCCAGGCTGCCTCTGAAATCCCCTCTGAAGGATGAAGATTTTTGATAACATTCTGTAATTCATTCTGTCCTCTTATCATTTCAAGGATCCTGAAGGAGTAGAAGTGGATATTCTGGAAGAAAAAGATTTTACTGGAATAGTTTCTTTTCCCGACTTCAAGATTCCTCCTAATCCTAAGTAGATTTATTTAATTTTTTTTTTTTGGGTGAATTATTAATATTATAATACCTTTTTATAGTGGCTGTCATAGAGTGGTTTTGCATGGTGGGCATGACTTGGAACTTGTAGATTTCTAACATTTCACACAGGGTGGAATCATTATATAAATAGGGTCCTTATGGCAGGGTATTCTCCTTAAAGAACAGAGAGTGGCAGGTTTTTCATGCCCAATTAAAAAAAAAACCATTAATGACAATTAAAGCTTTCCACTGTAGAGATATAAACAGTGACAAAGACGTGGGGATTTCATATTTCATATGTGTTTCATACAAATCAACAGCATTTTCCCAGGAACAGCAGCATTTTAAAAAATCTCTTCAGTTCTCCTTTTAGTCTTGAGAGGGTGCTGAAGCATTGCTGAGATGGCAGAAGGATGATAGCAGGGGCTTGAGAAACTGGTTTATAACTGATTTCAGTGCTTTAAAGTAAATGCCAAATAATTAATGGTGTATCAAAGAGAATCTGCTCAAAGCAGGCCTTGAACACCTGCAAAAATCTGGTGCAGAATTTTCCTCCCTAAGAAATTATTGCCATTATTATCATTAATTTTCATCTTCAAAACTGTCTGATTGTTGTTATTTCATAGATATGGAATTTGGAAGATTAAAGCCAAGTACAAGAAGGATTTTGTGACCTCAGCTGTTGCAAAATTTGAAGTTAAGGAATATGGTAAGGTGTGCCCATGCTGTGAACCTGCATTTTTAGTGTTTTCAAGAGCTCAAACCCCTTGAAAAGGTCAGGGTTCTTCAGTGGCTCAGCACCTGTGGCTCCATGGATGAAACACCCCCAAGTGACCTTTTTTCCACTCAATTTGCAGCAATGCCAAGCTTTTCCATCACCATCGAGCCAGAGAGTAACTTCATTAGCTCTGATAAATTTGAGAACTTCAGGATTGTTGTGAAAGCCAGGTGAGGAAATTTGCCTTGGAATCCTGAATATTTTGTATCTCATCTTCTTTTACCCAAGGAACGATTCTCTGAGTCCAGACTTCTCCTCTTTGCTTTCCTCAAGAAACTCTTTCGTCAAAATAATTTCTGCTGTGTAAGAAATCTAAGTGACTCTTCTTAAAATTCTCTCAAAGTGATTATTTTTCAACAGAAGTGTTTAAAATACAGACATTTGTTTTCCATCTCTTGCCTAGGCAATTTCTCCTCTTCAAAAACAAATGCTTTGTTGCAGCCATTAAAGTAATCTTAAAAGCATTTATATTGTTTTATTCTCAGCTATTTTTCCAACAAAAA